GACACGCACTTTTAAATAATATATATTTTTTAATATACTGATAGTATATACTTGTGTATATTAAATACGACAATTAAACTGCCCAGTGGTTGTGCAAGATTGTGAGCGTTTTGTGGGCAAAATCCCAATACAGAACATTGTCGTATCGTGTTATCTGCTGCAAAGGGGGTACTCATGATGGTTTATTTTTTCTACCAGACATAAGAGTAGGTAGGCCCTTGTGTCCCAATGCTGCAGATTTAATTCGATATCCATACTGCAAGAAGCTGTCTTCCTGCAGGACTAAACGTTTCTCCTCCTCTTGATCTACACATCCCAGCTTTCGAGCTCGCTTCTGTCTTTCCTGTCTCATACCGGCTAACCCCTACGAAAGAGGCTTGTCAACTCTGGCGTCGCTATCCATAGTCTGGTTCTCTTTGTTTCTGGCCACTTATCAAAAGTAAAAAAAAAACTACCGATCGTTCTCCGTCTTGGACCCTCGTCAAGGTGGTGGGGGCCGAGGGGGCTAGTGTGGGGGGGGGGGGGTGAATCTGCGTCGTGATAACAGCGTCGACCTTTGGTAAAAATGTCACTCGGCACATTTTGGCATACAAGTGAAAAACGCAGATTGATCGTGTAATTGTTCAACCAAGGCGGACGCGTGCCCGTACACACGAACAATGGAGTGCTGTTCAAACAGCGGATGAGTTGGCAGTAAAAGTGCAGATGGCGTGCTCGTCCGTTGAGCGAAGAGGCATCACCAAGAGCCTGATGCCCGCCCGCGCTTGTTCTTGTTGTGAAATGTCATTGTCCACCTGTCAGTAGAATCCATTACTTTTGAACTTGAGAAAAAAAGGTAACGCCGACGGTATTTTTGGCGCACGTTAAATCAGCTCTGCTGTTTTGACTGTGAGTCTGCGCGGCCAGGTTTTTTTTTGTTATTACCGAGAATGATGTTTCATCTTTATTTCTATATATATTTAAAAATATTATTTTATTAACGATTCTGAGGCATGGGTAAATGCAATTGCAGGCACATATTGAGTTGGCGTGCACATTATACGACGGGCAAAACCATTTGGAGCTTAATTCTCAGAACCGCCGTGGTCTTTTTGCAAGCTAAAATCATCGCACCGAATATTATCCCAACATTGTCCGCCACTTTGCGAACCAGTTCTAGGACCCCCTCGCTAACCCACACCGACCAGCGTGGTTGAAGTAAAAAGAAAACCCAGTGGCGAACATGACAAAGGGGAGGCCTTCATCCAGCAGTAGATTGATAAAGGGCTGTAAATGTTAACTTATTTATGTGGATTGCACACCCAAGTATAACTGAGCATAGCAGATGTTACATTAATTGTCTTAATAACTAAACGCTGCTAGTTGATTAACTTTGAACACACGACGGTATATTCATGACGTTCCCCTTCATGTTTCAAACCTTGGTGATTTGATTTAGATGTCAAGCGTTTGTTTACATCTCATTACATGTTCACTATATACGTGTAAGTTGATACCCTGGACACCCTTGCAAACGAGATGTTCCATCTCAAGTTATTTTCCAGTTTAAATATTTAAATGTATCAAGCAAAAAGTTATTACCCTTCAAGATGTCATCAATTGTTTAAAAAGTTAACCACCGAACAAGTTAAAAAGGTAGCAATTAGTCAATCATAACTGATGATCAAACGGCTCAATTTATTTTTTGTTTAACATTCAAAAGTCCTGGTGTGCTCACGCTATTCACGGCAGGGCACTGCCTATGGGACTGGGACTAATAAATGCATCAATCTCTCACCCCAATGTTTGCAGTGCTGATCCTTTCCCGCGTTGTCCACGAGCAAACTGCCTCGCTTTCGCCGAGGTCAAGCGTACAGACGTGTAAAGCATCTGCTGTGTACGCATTTAAAGCGCCGAGGCTTGGGGGCGATTGTTTGAACTTTCTCTCGCATCGCACAGCGCTGTGGTGGACCTACAGTGAGGGAAAAAAAGTATTTGATCCCCTGCTGATTTTGTACGTTTGCCCACTGACAAAGAATTGATCAGTCTATAATTTTAATGGTAGGCTTATTTGAACAGCAAGAGACAGAATAACAACAAAAAATCCAGAAAAACGCATGTCAAAAATGTTATAAATTGATCATTGTTTTTTTACCCTTTTATCTGGCAACAAAACTGACACCTTTTTTACAAGGAGTCATGTTTACATTGACCACAATACCTGCGGTCGGAACGCAAACAAAAAACAACTCTGATAATGTATGCACTGTCCTTTAAATTGATTTGCATTTTAATGAGGGAAATAAGTATTTGACCCCTCTGCAAAACATGACTTAGTACTTGGTGGCAATACCCTTGTTGGCAATCACAGAGGTCAGATGTTTCTTTTGTAGTTGGCCACCAAGTTTGCACATATCTCAGGAGGGATCTTGTCCCACTCCTCTTTGCAGATCTTCTCCAAGTCATTAAGGTTTCGAGGCTGACGTTTGGCAATTCGAACCTTCAGCTCCCTCCACAGATTTTCTATGGGATTAAGGTCTTGAGACTGGCTAGGCCACTCCAGGACCTTAATGTGCTTCTTCTTGAGCCACTCCTTTGTTGCCTTGGCCGTGTGTTTTGGGTCATTGTCATGCTGGAATACACATCCACGACCCATTTTCAATGCCCTGGCTGAGGAAAGGAGATTCTCACCCAAGATTTGACGGTACATGGCCCCGTCCATCGTCCCTTTGATGCGGTGAAGTTGTCCTGTCCCCTTAGCAGAAAAAACACCCCCAAAGCATAATGTTTCCACCTCAATGTTTGACGGTGGGGATGGTGTTCTTGGGGTCATAGGAGGCAGCATTCCTCCTCCTCCAAACACGGCGAGTTGAGTTGATGCCAAAGAGCTCCATTTTGGTCTCATCTGACCACAACACTTTCACCCAGTTGTCCTCTGAATCATTCAGATGTTCATTGGCAAACTTCAGACGGGCATGTATATGTGCTTTCTTGAGCAGGGGGACCTTGCGGGCGCTGCAGGATTTCAGTCCTTCACGGCGTAGTGTGTTACTAATTGTTTTCTTGGTGACTATGGTCCCAGCTGCCTTGAGATCATTGACAAGATCCTCCCGTGCAGTTCTGGGCTGATTCCTCACCGTTCTCATGATCATTGCAACTCCATGTGGTGAGATCTTGCATTGAGCCCCAGGCCGAGGGAGATTGACAGTTCTTTTGTGTTTCTTCCATTTGCGAATAATCGCTCCAACTGTTGTCACCTTCTTACCAAGCTGCTTGGCAATGGTCTTGTAGCCCATTCCAGCCTTGTGTAGGTCTACAATCTTGTCCCTGACATCCTTGGAGAGCTCTTTGGTCTTTGCCATTGTGGAGAGTTTGGAATCTGATTGATTAATTGCTTCTGTGGACAGGTGTCTTTTATACAGGTAATAAGCTGAGATTAGGAGCACTCCCTTTAAGAGTGTGCTCCTAATCTCAGCTCGTTACCTGTATTAAAGATACCTGGGAGCCAGAGATCTTTCTGATTGAGAGGGGGTCAAATACTTATTTCCCTCATTAAACTGCAAATCAATTTATTACATTTTTGACATGCGTTTTTCTGGATTTTTGTTGTTGTTATTCTGTCTCTCACTGTTCAAATAAACCTACCATTAAAATTATAGACTGATAATTTATTTGTCAGTGGGCAAACGTACAAAATCAGCAGGGGATCAAATACTTTTTCCCTCACTGTATGACATGCCCATCTTTATTAACCATTCACTTGAGTCCCACCATGGCATATGCTTGCGGAGGCACTTAGTTGGACCTTTATATATGTAAGTTTTTCAATCGAGCCGTATCCTGGCAGTTTGTTTAGTGCCCCGTGTTGTTTTTTTAGTCAGTAGTACAGCCCAATAAGTCCTGTTTATGAGACCCCTGGCCCATGCCATGCGGTGCAGCACGGAGGGACACTGTAACAAGGTTTTGTACAAATATGTAAATTGGTCCCAACCCTTAGCAGCTGAGACCGGCTGGAAGTCTGCTTTCCCGGCCCAATTTTCCTGGAGCCCGCATTGATGTAAAGCCCTTTGGAGAGACATTCGCCGGCAAAAATCTGACGCCGTAACCCGAGCTGGTGACTTGCGGTCGGTCGTGTCCCTGATTGGAGTTTCCAGCCGTTTTATGGAAATGCAAATGCGTTTATTTAAATTATTCTAACCAGAATGCATATTTGATTAATTGTGTTTCAGGAGAGAGGGTGGCAACATGATGTTTTGCTACCAAGTAACAATATCCTGTGCAGTGTAACAGTTTGTGTTGATATGAACATCGTTTTGTATAGGCATATCTTCAGATCATCAATGCATTCATTCTATGTTGTCATTTTATTGTTAATCATTTTATGAGTTTATTCCGCTTTTTTTGTACGCTGTCAAATCCATGGTGACGGAATTACATCCATAACGTTGGTTTTTCCAATGCGTTGTAAAAACGGGCTCCTTCATAATTCATGCCAACGTGCAGTGTTAAAGCACCTTTGGATCCAAACGCCAAATTACGCCGATGCTTTAGATTTTGTGCCCCATTGGACTTCAAGGCCTGTGCTGTAATTCCGTTACTGCCACATTTACCATCGGTCTTCATCTTTGTTTGCCCGCCCCCCCCAATCGCCTCCGACTAAGCAAGGCTGGCTACGTACGGTGCGGCGAAAGAGGTTCAACAGGCAAACATCTCACTTTTATCTCGTCATCGTGTTTTACAGTTTTATTTTTATTGTTTTGTTCTTCATACTTTTTCGTTTGTGTGTTTTGTTTTTGTTTGTTTGTTTTCTTCACCCCATCCACACCCCATCCACCCCCCACACCCCCCACCACCACCTCTTCATCCCCTCAACTCGCACCCCACCCCTCCTGCTCACCTCCCCCACCGCCGCCCACTCACGGTGCCACACCGCCGTGGTCGCGTCACCGTCCCGACGCGCGCGCGCGCCCGCCCCCCCCCCACCCCCCCACCCCCCGCCGCCCCCCCCCCAACGTCGCCAGACGACATCGGCCACTCCGTGTCTCCCAACCCGTCGTCCCACCCCCCGTCTGTGACCGGTGCCGCCGCCGCCGCGAACGACCGCCACCGCACAGCGAGCGGCGGGGAGGCCCCTCTGCCCTCGGCGCCCCGCGACGTCGTGGCCGCCCTGGTGTCAACGCGCTTCGTCAAGCTCATGTGGCGAGCGCCCGCCGACCCGCAGGGAGACATCCTGGGCTACACCGTCTTCTACGCCAAGGAGAAGGCCAACAGGTCAGCGCGTGATGGGGAAAGGGGGGGGGGGCGGTGGGTGCCCCCCCCCCCCAACCCGTTGGACGACGAGGGCTGGAATGGTTTTTGTCGGTCACCGTGAATTGTCACGCGGCGCGGGGCGCTAGTCGGCGGTGGTTTTTCCCAGGATTGGATTTGGCACAGTAGTGTGCCCATGACACCAGATGCCAGAGACCAGTGCACGTGCTTTGAGTGGCCCGATATGTTATTTTTAGATTATCCCAATTCAGATGTGGGGTTCGTGGAATATGATGGCATTCATGTGCTGCTTGTGGTAGATCATTAATAGGTTTGTCATCTGTCTTAAAGCATCAACTGATAAATTAATAGTGAGGAAAACATGTCATGGGCTGTTTATGAATAGCTGACCTGCAAGTCCCTCCTCACCGATGTATGAGCTAAATCAAAGCCAAACTGTCCCAATATTTAACCGAGCATTGGAGAGTGTTTACTTCTATTGGTATCCCTGAGCTCGCGGTAGAAAATCAATTTTCTCACGCTAGAACCAGTTTTTATTCACAGCACAACCACTGTTGATTTTCCACGAAGTTGGTGATTGTGTTATTGACCCCAACGAGGCACGATGAGCTGAGGTATTCCTCTGACCAGGATTCCTACTGGAAACATTCTGATTGGTCGGTAGGTGTACGCTCGACCAGACCAGATAGGCAGGGTAGAAGGTAGACATGTTTAGATCGGGAATATTCATCATCCCTATGCATTGTTTTTCAATCCACTTTGAGTACCTAGGATGAGCTGATCCGTTAATTAAGATCATCTGCTATAAGTTAAAATGTTGCCTTCATAAATTGCATTGAAAAAGTGTTACTAAAGAGCAGCGCGAGAGCAATATACTTCTTTGTAACATCACCTGGATAAAATGCAATCAACATTTAATTATAATTTGGTGACAAGTGATATTGCGGTCCTACAAGTGACAATGCACATAGCACTTATTGGAGTAAGTGGTGTTCATTGTTCTGAGAATTTTGGTTAAATTCAGCAACTACATATAATTCACATTGTGCTTAGATCATCATTATAATTGATTTAAAACTAATTAAATGTAACTAATTAAATGTAACTAATTACCAGCACTAATGTTGGTTTGATTGGGCACACATAAAACCTTAATTGGTTCAATGTCGAATTATACTTGCTTGTCAGCTTGAGTGTTATCATGTATGTGGGAATTTGAATAATGCATGTGTTTGCCCAGAATGCACTACTCCAGGAATTAATCGTAGTACAGGTGAATCTTTAAAATGGTCCACATTTGCCAAATTTGAGAAATTACCCACAAATTACTCAGCAATCATCACCCACTACTGCGAGAACCTGGCAGGACCCTCCTGAAAAAGAGTCGTGAGACTCAGTGAGGCCTTCCTGGGTACACAAGCATAATAAAAACATAACTACGAAAACTTAAATATTTGTATTATACCAGGTAAGGCCCACTGAACTATATGTAGGTCTTTTTTAGAAACTACCTGGCAACAAATTAAGTGGCTTATCATGTGAAAAATTATATCAGCCACGTACTCTAAGCTCATGTTGATTCTAAAAAAAGCGCTCATCTTTTCACAATGGCCCTGTCGCTTTTGAGGGAACCATCCCCTTATGCTAGTTCTTCCACTTAGTGAGTTTTAAGTGGCAATTATTCTACCAGCGTTTGATGCAACAGCCTTTGACCGGCCAACGCCATAGGATAGATTGTCTCTCACCTGAGCAAGTAAACATTCCCTTCCGCTGACACAGGCCTGCCGAGAGAGAATCGCGCCCACCCCTGTGCTCTTGAAGCACGGGGAACACTTTGACTTGACGTGATTACAATGGCAGATTGACACGTGCCCAGCAGAGAATACGTACACTGAAGCCTCAGTGGAGCACATCCAATGTCTTAGTCAATCAACGCCTCTTCCCTGTCCTGTAGAGAGCCCAGTTCAGCCGTGAAGGCAAGTGCACAGGTTCTCTCCGTCTTGCACTGCGGTGTGTCGCCAATGGCAAGCACAGCCAAATCAAGTAAAAACGTTCACCAAATCATCTTCAATTATCAGTCATCTTCAATTATTATCTTTTTGCAACCACCATAACTTTGGTAGCACTGATGCATTTGTTGAATGTGATTTTATAAAATATATATTTATCTTCAACCCACAACTTTCCAATTCATTGCCTCTTTTTTTTAAAGCCATTTTAATGTCCCTCCGTGGAAGAGTTCAAAGTTTAATGCCACCTCAAAGGTATGGGCAATTTGTGAGATCGCTGCCACTTCCTGCTGGTTCTGTAGAGTATAAACCTACGCACAATACATGCAGTTAAATTGTTAATGTATCGTGGATTTTGGATTTCCCCATTACTCTCATGGGCTAGGGAACTAATGCTGAGGTTCTCCTGCAAAAGACTTTGAGTAAGCATGTTTTGCATTGCTAATTTTAATGTGATGCATTTTTCGTACAAATGAGTCACAAAGTGTGCCCCTCAAACAAATACTCGCTGGTGCATACCTCTATTGGTGATCCTGAACCAGTGATGGAAACTCCACATTCCTTTGGTGGGGGGGGGGGGGGGGGCAGGGAGGGACAGTATCTTAATGGCGGAATGACTGTGGATTTCCACAAAGTGGTACTGATTTTCTTTTGACGAAAAAGAATGAATAATATGCCGAGTCGTTCCTCAAACAGAATGTGAGCACAGCCTTCGGATTGTGAGTCGGTCAGTCCACCAGTGACATCTGTTCGGAACATACGTGTAACATATACAGTGGTATTGCATAGTTGCCATTGGTCATCCAGCAGTGGCTTGATCGTGGCTTATGATGATTATGTCCTTGTCAAAAATAACCAGTTATAGAGATGTACATAAAACTTTATTTGAAGCTTTGATGACTGCAGCAATTACTCTTTGGTTCTTTTGGTAAAGTCACGTAGAAAAATAATTAAAAATAGTAATAGAATACGACGTTTCAATTGCAACACAAGCAACCATCATCAGGTATGAATGAATTATAAAACAAGTGAAGTGGGAAGCATGCCGAAAGCAAGTGGGAAGCTTCCACTCGCTCCCACTTGCTTCAAATTGCTTCAACTTGCTTCCCACTTGCTTACACTTGCTTCCCACTCGCTTTCCACTCGCTTCAACTCGCTTCCCACTCGCTTCCCACTCGCTTCCACTCACTTCCACTCGCTTCCCACTTGCTTCCCATGTGCTTCCCACTCGCTTCCACTCACTTCCACTCGCTTCCCACTTGCTTCCCATGTGCTTCCCACTCGCTTCCCACTCGCTTCCCACTTGCTTCCACTCGCTTCCCACACGCTTCCCACTCGATTCCCACTCGCTTCCACTCACTTCCTTCTTGCTTCCACTCGCTTCCCACTCGCTTCCCACTCGCTTCCCTCTTGCTTCCACTCGTTTCCACTCGCTTCCCACTCGCTTCCCACTCGCTTCCCACTCGCTTCCACTCGCTTCTCACTCGCTTCCCACTCGCTTCCCATGTGCTTCCCACTTGCTTCCCACGTGCTTCCCGTGTGCTTCCCATGTGCTTCCCACTTGCTTCCCACTTGCTTCCACTCGCTTCCCACTCGCTTCCCACTCGCTTCCCACTCGCTTCCCACGTGCTTCCCACTCACTTCCCACTTGCTTCCCACTTGCTTCCCACTCGCTTCCCACTCGCTTCCCACTTGCTTCCCACTTGCTTCGCACTTGCTTCCCACTCGCTTCCCACTTGCTTCCCACTTGCTTCCCACTCGCTTTCTACTCGCTTCCCACGTGCTTCCCACTCCACTTGTTTTCTCATTCTGTCATACCTGATGATAGTGATATTTTAAAATGTACCTATTTTCAATGAGAAAACGTGTGCATTTGTGTCTTTCGTTCAGATAAAGTCCTGGTCACAAAGGCAACGTTTGTGGGGAATAATCGCTATTTTCCATACTTTTTAGGCATAAGCAATAACACTTAGTACCCAGAAACAAAAATTGTGTTACATAGTGTAATCAATCATTGGTGTACGTATTAAAAAAAAATATCTTGCTAACTTTCAACTAGTGTTCATGGAAAATGCATTACATTTGCATTTAAATTATTTTGAAGCTCGTTAATTTTTAAACCAAGTATGTGAAATAAATGTAATTAGTTTTGAAATTATATCCCAGGGACTTGTTAGTGCTTTTGGGAAATACAATTTAAATCACTTTTCCATTTTCTAGTTATGCAATTTAAAATGAGATTTGCAAATAGATTTTATTCTTACCTTAGCATTTTTTGCAGAGTTTAAAAGTTATGTTTTACTCTTACTAGAACACTTAAGTGGTTTGTAATACTCACTGCATGTTAAATATTACCTACAAAGTGATCAAATTGTGGTCTGCAACTGCGTAGAAGCCATTATATTTTCACAACTAAATTTAAAGCAGTGTACTTTCAATACAAAACCAATCTTCGTTGAATATTTAGACTTAGTGGGTTAGCAAAAGAAACACTATATCGCATGAGTTGTGGTATATTTATTGATACCACTGCTCATGGTCACGGTAGACCATTATGCTTGTCATTCAGCTTTACAGAATACCCAGTCCAAGCAGATATGTATGCGCAAACGGTCTCCGTGTAGTTTACAGCCGACTTAACATTAGCCACTCTTCTGATGAGTGGAAGAGAAAGCTATTACATACCTTCATCATGGTGGCCAGCCAGACCTTTCACCTCCAGCAATAGTTACGAGGATAATAGTGGCTTTCATTGAGCTTTTTTTCCATGGGTGCGTGCACATGCTCATCGTAATCTTGCTTGGTTTTCACGTGCAAATTCGCTCTTTGAGACCACGTGTCCAATTGCATGGTAGAATTGCGCAGGAACAACATTCAAAAGGTCATGAAATGGCCTCTGGCATTGAAATGTTGGACATTATTTTTTAGCTGACAAAATTACGGGGTAAAAAACATATGTAAATTCTGCTTTGTTATAAGAAAGGATTGCCTTCCTGCCATTGTGCGCTCGGATTTTGTTGAATGTGAAGTTGTTATGCTTGTCTTATTACCGCAGTTGCTTCCACGAGGTATCAAATTATGCTGTGCAAATGCGTTCATGGATTTTTCCTTTCCAACGATCATTGCAAATGTTTGCATGCCTTGCGCGGTGGTCATTGTATAATGCAAATGCTGATATGCTCGAATGTGTTGTGTCTTTCAAGACGTTATTTCTTTTCGGTACAACATTGCTTTTATATATATTTGTTTTCCTCCCCAATCTATTACAATTGTCCTATTGTTGTCATTTTGTGCAATGATGCATGCATTCGGTTATCTGTCAGATCAGTGCAGTGCATCCTGTGTGTCAGACTTGTCCATAAAAAAAATTCCTGCAAGTGCTCAACATTGCTCTTTATATACAAACACCTCTCATGTGAGTTTTTACTTTAATCGTGATTTACAACAAGCGGTCTCCCAAATCAAGTGAAAGTGATTTCTGCTCAAATAGGCATTGAGCGGGTGCTCATGGTGGACATTCCACATTACTATGTCGCGGGTGTGTGCATCCATAGGATAATCACTGTTGACTTTCACACACCGTGGCGCTCATATAAGTGACCCCGGAGGGATGATGGGCTGGGTAAACTGCCAACCAGGATTTGATATTACAAACTTACAACTACGAGCTGCTCGCTCTCCTACTGTGCCACGTGACTGGAAATACACAAATCAAAATGCATTGATCTTAAGTAAGAACGAAGTATATTTTTAAAATCTATTTGCACTTTACTCAAACTTTTAACAATGATTATTATAAAAAAAATGTAACCTCAGGTTTTTGCCTACCTTTGGTTCTGCCAAATCGTGTACATGTAGCATGGTGCACATCTGTTCACACCTTTTTTTTCAAGAAATCCAACAGGTGCAAATTGAACCTCGGCTGACTTCATTAAAGTGCCCGACCGAAGTTGTGCCAAATCCCGCCCAAGGAGTCCCACTGCATACGGTCCCGCGTGGCAACCAACTGGTAACAGCGCCAATGACCGGGGTCGTGACCTCTCTCCCTAGGGAACGAGCGGTGAACACCACCAAGCCAGGGGACCTGCAGGTCACCGTCGTCGACCTCCACCCTGAGGCGGAGTATTCCTTCCGCGTCATGGCCCTCAACAGGCACGGCCTGGGAGAGAGCTCCCAGCCGATCAGGGTGGCCACGCAGGCTGAAGGTCGGTCCCACGGCGAGCGGCCGATCCGCTCGTTTGACGGAGAGAGGGGTGCTCGATGAGACGCAACCCAAACAAGAAACAGCTTCCCACCTCTGCCGTTACCACCGACCTTGACGTGTGAACTAGTTTTCTTCTTCTTCTTCTGTGAGCAAGTGTTCAGCAGCAAGCACGACCCGTAAAGAGCTCAACAGCCATATATTTAAGTGATTTTAACCTTGCAGGGTTTAAATAGTTTTGCTACGCAGTATCCGCAAATGAAAGCTGTTAATGTCAGATCTGTGCATTTGTGAACTCTCTTGAAATCTCTAGTTTTATTGTTGTCGCACTGGATTTTAAAGGTGCCGTCCCGCACGTTATGTAAATACGGTGACTATCTCTCTGCGCTGAGAAGTGCTTTTGCACACTCCCGTATTTTTTCTGTCAAAAGGAAATGTTCCTGACTTATTTTTCCGAGTTGTTTTGGCTTTTGCTGTAGCACTGATGTCTATCCAGTCTCTTAACGGTTATGTTAATTTGGTCCATGTTAAATGTGTTTTGCTTGGCCCAGAAAGATAATTTACAAGTTGGAGCACTTGTCCAGCAACTGTGCATGGTGGTACATGCACGTTGTGTCGATCATTATAGAATCCCGATTTGTTACTGTCTTCTCTAAAAGTCCTTGAAGGTAATGGGTCACATTTTTATAAAAACAATTACAACTAATGGGATGGAGAGAGCGGTGGCACAGTGGTTAGCACACTGCCCTATGAACCCGGCGACCCGAGTCCGATTTTCGTCCATGGCTAACATCAGTGGTTAGCAACATCTGAACCATTCCAGGGCGTGTGCCCCCTTATTCCACCCACAATGACCAGTTTGGTTAAGTATGGTCAAACAACCCCTAAAACAGACACAGTTTTCAGACGCTTTTACCCAGCAGTGGACTGTTATTTCTCTTACACGATTGCATTGGAAAACATAATGGATTATTATAATCTACACTACTTTGAAAATCGCCTCCCTCTGTTTGCAGGCAGTGAAAAATAGGAAAAAAATTGATATAGAAATGAACTTTGGGTACACTAACCTGAATTATTGGTGCCATTGCTGCTGCTATGATTATGCTGTAATTTACGCACAAACTAGCTCACAGTCTTTCCTCCTGGAGACCCTAATGCCATGCTCGCTGGATGTGTTTCATTTGCACGTGTTCCAGGCCAATGTGTCCGCGGTTGATGGATGAATCTTGACAGGCAATGCCAATTCTAAAACTGTGAAATGAGATTCTCTGAAATGGGTTTTCAGTGGTATCCAACATTGGCCATCTTCAGAGTTTAAATTAAAGGTACCTAGTGTTGAAATAGTATTTTAATAAGCAGAAGCAGGGTACAATCCGATTATCTTGCTAAGTGAGAAGGGGAGGGAGAAAATTGGCTGATTATCTCAGCTGATAAGGTGGCAAGAAGACCCACTGTTCAAATTGCCTGTCCTTGGCAAACTGGATTCCCTAGCACATGTGGGAACAGCCTACAGAATATGCTATCATCAAATCTGTCGCTCCTCCTATACCTGTTTAATTGACCTCCCTTACCACACCAAAAAAAAAATCAGTTTATGGATCATGCTCCTATTTTATGCTCAGTGGGAATAATAAATTGTTTCCAAAATCCTGCTAATATTTGATATTGCTGTGGGGATGGAGTTTGAAGCCGTTTTTATGTAAGTGTGCCCCGATTAGGTTTCTGAAATCTGCCACCCTTTCCTGCCCACCAGTAGTGTACATGGTGTCACCGCCACAATTAGTCTATGAGAAGGACGCGTGTGTTGGGGTTAAATGTTGGTGCTCGCACCTATTTCCGGCGGGTCATTCTTGTTAAAACCACCATAATGGCTGAATATTTCTTACCCACGTAAATAAATAATAATAAATATTCGAAAATGGCCGGTCAAAAATGGAAGATTAGGCCATATACTCTCCAGAGCAGCTTTCCAGAGCATTTCCTAAATAGTGTATATCATCATTCAAGAATCGATGTTTATGAACTTTATACGCTATTTACCCGAAATATGTATGCATTTATGTTTGTTTGTTGTTATAGTTAATGATTCCTGTGATATTTTTGCATTGGAAAACACATCACAAAAAAAAAATGAGACTTACTTATGCAACTGTGCATAACATCACAAGGACTTGTTTATATATATACAATACAAAAGTAAAAAAATAACATTTTTGACACTGCAAGCAGAATCTTTTGGGGGATTTTACGATTCATTTTATAATTCAGAAAGATGAATCCTGCTGTTTGCGCTTCCTGTTTTATTTGATTTTGTTAAACCAGTGCAAGTGCCGGGGCCGGCTATGAATCTGGAAGCCGAAGTCACCTCTGCTACCTCCATCACTCTGAGCTGGGACATGCCCATCTCAGGCAATGGCCCGATCCTCAACTACCGCCTTTACTACATGGAGCGGAGCCCGGGTGTGGATGGGGAGCAGGTGAGAGCATCAAGCTAGGACCGCATTACTGGCAGGCTCCACCAGAACACGTGGCAAGCTGATAGCCCCCCTACCCTCCATTGTACATGGACACGCCAACTCATTCACTAGCCCCACCAATAGGAGAGTGGCCTCACACTTTCTCACATTGGCCCTGCCCACTGCTGACAGGCCACGCCCATTCCTACACCAACCCACACCCACTGCTCAGGCAACCCCAGTTCATGAGTGCAGCGTAAGGCCAGTTGGTCAACCTTTAATACAACATTGCTAACAAATTGCTAAATTATTATTCCTAACATTAATTCATAATGACGACGATAATGATGCAATTAAGCAGCGTCATCAATTACGGCAATATAATTCCCCCCCTTTTGAAGACATTTGCAATGTACGATAATGTGATGTTAAATCAAAGACTGCAATGCGCAAAGTCTCTTTCCGCGTGAAAGCGATCCATGGATCTCTCATTAACGACACACTGGACCAGAGTCAATGATGTTCTGCTGGATTTGTAGGCACATGCAGTTGGGTCTGGCGGTTGTTATGCCCCCCACTAATAGATTTCACTCTCGCTACACTCACAACCATTGGAAATCCCTAGTAATCATCAACTTTATTAAACGTTTTCTATTCAGTTGGACACTACATGGAAATGAAACGGGTTATCTCAATAACAGCCTTACCATATTTCATTTTCTCGGACGCGACGTCATTGCTTTCTATTTAGCGATTCTTCCACATGAGCGTAGGATTCTGTGTGCGACTGCACAAGTGTAGCGGGTTAGCTTCATCAAGCATCCTCATCTATCATCAGTCACTTATGAAAGAACATCAATCGCCATTCATTAATAAGGCTGGGAGAACATTAAGACTCAAATGCCTGTCCATTGCACTTTAGCGTTTAGTGTCGCCTTTGGCCGAGATGGGATTTGTTGTTGTTGAGAGAAGTGACCTCCAGCGCCTCGACGTTACGTCGTCGTCACCAGGACGGATCCCGGTATGCAACCCCTATGCCTGTTACACCACTTCCAACACGGCCCCCGTAAGCTTTATTTGAGATCCCAGGTGGCGACATCATTTGGATGGGAGGTGGTGTTGACACGGGGAGCGCGCTGGGTGGGAGCAGGAGGTCGCTAAGCAGATAATGCCAACTCCGCCCAATGGTCCGGCAAACAGCTTCACAAACCGCCCTGACGTGGAGCCAAATTTGAGATCTGCTGCCGTAAGCGCATGCTCCCCTCGGAAGATGGGGTCACTGCCTCCCCGAAGACCTTCCCTCCCCCACGCCGCCCCCGCTCCCCTCCCTCCTGCGCCCCCGCCCCTGATCTGCCGGCGTGTGATTAACAGCCCCATCGACGAGTGCTTACTCTATCCGCTTGGTGCTCAGTCTAAGGACGCTGAGGTTCAACCTCCTGCGAGGTGTGCGACAGCGTCTCTGTGGTGTCGCGTAAGCGTCATCGACCCGTCACCCCGTCTGGCTCGGACACTGTTGATATTCGAAGGCATCAAACGGAGCCAGTTCCGCTCGTTAATCTCCGGTCACCGCCCAACTTATAAAATTACGTGGAGCGCGCGCTTGCGCGCGGAACGATGATGGTGAGATCGTTAGGTTTGGAAACGTGACGATGCATTGCGGGTGTCAAAGATCGCGAAGGCGGCTTTTGTTGGCAACCGACAGTGTGGGTGCGAATGCTGCGTAGGCGCAGTGTGTATGTGGTTGTTGGGTGGTTTTTTTCTCATTCGGGTGCATTTGGGAATTGAACAAAAAAAAACAATTTGGTCCCTTTTATTGATAGGCGGCATGAAGGTTAACAAGATTTTCAGCAAATTCCTTCTCTTTCATCACGAAGGCAGACATGGCTGTCAGCTCATTTATCAATCTCCCTTGTAGCTCTAAGGGATGTTCCCTCCCTTCCGATAAACTTCCCAGACCAGCCCAGATTGACTTACCTTAAAACACAGAGCCATCAAATCGGGGTCCAAATAAATTGAACCTGCCCTTGCTGACTCTCTGTGCTCTGACCTTCCACAGCGTTGTCAGCACTGTCCAAGCCAATGCATTAACCTCTTCTGTGGCTACAACCTGGCCAAGTAATCTATTTTAACTGATGTGCATTAATAAGGCACACGATTAAGCATTTGTTTTCCTCCCCAGGTGCACACTGCTAAAATACGTGTTGGAATTAGTGATTTATTTATTATTGTTTTCATTCGTTGTGACGGCATAATTTCAATAAAGAAACGGGAGTAGCATTTACAAATATATATAATATTTATAAGCAACAGTGGCGTTCATTTTCTTGATTCTCTCGGTACAGTCACGTAGAAGGGAAACAATAAAATAATAGAAATAAAAAAATATTGTTTTTTAAAAATATTGTTTTATAAAAATATTGTTTAATATTTTTATTATTTTATTGTTTCCCTTCTATGTAACTTTACCGAAAGAACCAAGAATATGAATCCCTGCAGTCACGAAAGCTTTAAATCAAAATTTAACAGTGGCGTTGTTTTAATTTGAAATATATTGAACAGCGAGCCTCATTCCACCAATTACCCATGGTCCTGGGGCTTTGTTTAAGTTTGGCTGAATGAAATGAAACTGCTGCGCTTTTGCCCATTTCTCATAACGTTTAGCAGCCAGCGACAGTGAGCGCTGGAGGAAGGGACGCAGATGATAGGAGATGACAAGTGATGGAAGGAATCGGCCAGGCGCGTAAATCATATCGGGGAATCAAGAGATGAAATCCAGAGCGTGCAGTACCTTAGAACGACAGCGATAAAAGCAGCAGGGAAAGAAAGACGAGACAGCAAGAGGTCACAAACATGATCGCGCATGTTGTTAATGAATTAGTAGATGACTGTCAATAAAGAGGAAAGCTCTCTGTGAAGCTGATTCTGTTTAATCGCTCTTTTATAGATAAGCTTTCAATATCAAGTGGGACTTCTTGCTCATTGCTGAACGAATAAATACAAAATGCAAAGTAGATTAAACCCACGGCTTTTTAGGCTTAATAAATACTAGCACTGGCGAAGCCACCGCTTCTTCTGCAGCATTCCGGGCCATCCGGCAGCGCTCGGCAATAGTTTAACTTGGCACCAGTGCCTGGCGGCGTTGTGACTCTCCGCTACCGCCCGCACCGCCACCTGCCAGGAGGTGGACGTGGGCGGCCAGTCGTACAGCATGCACGGCCTCAAGAAGCACACGGAGTACGGCTTCCGCGTGGTCGCTGTCAACCGGCACGGCCCGGGCGCCTCCACCGAGGACGTGGTGGCACGGACCTACTCCGACGGTATGCCTGCCAGCCTCTCTGCTCACTCGGCAGCGCCTGTGCAATCCGTCCGTCCGTTCGTTCGCTCGTTCGTTTGTTAATTCACAATAAATTATCTATTCACTCGCGCTGTACCAGCTCGGCAAATGCCTGCACCCATTCGTTCACAAATTAAGAAATCCACAAGTTCATTGATTCATTCCTTCACACACAATTTAATTTCTTACCTCGCGTTACATCTGCCACCTAGTACCGTATCGTGGACGGATCAATTGAGGATCCCATTTAGGCGTGGCCGATGGGCCCATGACGTGGAGAGGGCATAGAGCAAGGCCAGCGTATGAAGGGAGCTTCAGCGCCACATTCCTCAAATGAGTATTGGGCATTGGTAGGGGGGGCATTCATGTCCATAACCAATCTGAGCTAGAGTAGGACATTTTAAAGGAGGACCAGTCTATCTGTGAGACAATCACTGTTGATTTCCCATGAAGTGATTCAATTGGGCGGGTGATGGACTGAGTTTTATTGCAATTGGGACTTCTGATTGTGAGTTGGGCGCACGTAGTAATCCACACTCAAAGCTGTAGCAGGCTGGGAATTACTTTTTCAAAATAAGTTGCAAAGAATCCTAAACAGAACCCTGCTGAAAAAAGTTTTGAGACTGAACTGAGGGTCTCTGATAAAAAAAAAAAAACACCAATGGAGATGAATACCATGGCACACTCTGTTGAACAAACATATCTTCTTTATTAAAAAAAAAAACTTGATTTTGCATGTGGCAGAAACTGAGAATACCTCAAGAAATTGAGGGATAAGCATGAACAAAAATCTGGTCTGGCAGGTGATTATACCACAATTTATCCGAACAGGTCCCTGCAGGGTGTGCTGGTAGGACAAGTCTCTGCGCTGTCTATTGCTGATTTTACACCCAACAGCACGAGATTTCACTTCGTTAAAGTATTGAAAGGGACGGACGGACACATTAATCTATTGCAGGCTGGTACACTCAGTTTACAACTTCGTTCCTACCAGTATAATCATACATTAAATCAATAGTAAGAGGTGTCTGTTGAAAATGGTCATGATGAGAATAGCTGGGAAATGACAGTCTATTAAAGAACAAATATGAAGACATAGGCAGGTAGTTGGTTGCAGTTTGGAGGGTTGTTTGTATACGTATGCTTCTTATGAAAGGGAATGATTTCCCTCTTATACCTCCCTGGGAACCAAGAGACGTGTTTATTGCAGCCTGCCTCGGTAAATTCACCTAACGAAAGCTTGTAATAAAAAGTTAATTTGTAAACAGTGGAGCGTATCAGCCTCGTGTAACCCCGTAGAATACTAAATAATTCAAGTTGATTAGATCCCAATCCAAATTATTTCCTTAATGGTTATAATGGCATTCCAGTAAGTATTTTGACTCTCTGCAGCCTAGGCAATTTTTGCTCAATCAATTCCATAAAGCATGCTGCGAGTTTATTGTCTCTGAGGCTGATGGTATCTAGTAGTGTGCAAGTTGTAATGGAGGGTTCTTCGTTAAAGTATAATTCGACTGACTGACACTGTAAAATATATATGTGTTTTTACACTAAACGACAAGTAAGTTTTTAATTGTAAAAAAAAGGCAGATCTCAGTGTTTCAGCTGACTGACCTTCAACAAGATACCTACATTCACATTTGTGTTTGGGGAAGGCTGTTATCAGCAAACAAGAGACATTTATGTAACCTGGAAGAATGAATTATTACATAAGTTATGCCCATCCCTGGAAGCTCACCTGGGCGGGCAATTAAAGTTACAAACAGAGATTCATATATTTTTTACTGAAAGTATTTAAATATTTATTATTTTTATTACTGAAATAACTAGAATAACTCTACATTATAAACCGCCAGTGTGCTCACTCAGGTTAAGAACCAGGCTACAGTCTACATTAGTGTTTTTATTTGTTTTTATTATTATTTTATTTTTTATTATTTTTATTCACTTTATTATTATTTTTCTATCTACGTGACTACCGAAATAACCAAATAATATTATTTTCTGCGGTGACGAAAGTTTGAAGTCAAAATTACAAACAGCGACTTGAGCTCGATTGTCCACAGTAAACATTACATACACAGGGCCCTTTGGCTAGAGCAGTAATGCAGTGGATAGGGCAATGCCTCTGAACCTAGAGACCTGAATTCCCAGTCCATGCAACAAGGGGGGGAGTATGGTCAAGCAACTCCCGATCAAGACACCATGGAGGGGGCCTTTATCCAGCATTGGATTGACGATAGGCTGTACATTATTGCATCAAAATGATTTCAGGCTTCATGGCATCAGAGTGAGAACGCTCAGCTTGCAATTAATTGGCAGGCTTCTAGTTTAAATCGCCCTTTTGGGGTAAACGCGTAAACTCAACAGCCCTCCGGAGTTAATGAGATCAGCATTCACTTGGTGGGAAGTGAACCCGTGTTCATTCTACGAAGAAGCTGGCCCCCCACCATAGCAATGTGTGACTTCTACCGCTGGCTCAGCACTCTCAGCGGACACGAGGAGGAAGCTCACTGTTGCTCATTTCATCGGCGAGACCCTGACTTTCATAAAATATGCAGTTGCAAACAGGCCATTCAATTTTCCCAGCCAATAAATATATTCATGTTTAGAACGTAGACAGATAGGAAGAGGGGGCGGGGGGGCATTTTGGTCCATGTAGCTCACGTTGGCCGTGACACATTGCTCCGTTGTCTGATTCGTTTGCATGTGATGCTGCTGCTACCTTGCACCCAATCGTATGTCAGCTCTTAAGTCAGCTGACTTTATGTTATTTTGCAGTTCCCAGCGCTCCACCTTCCAACGTGACCATAGAAGTTCTCAATTCAAAGGTGGGATTCGTTGATTCCATCGTCGATGCTTATTGCGTATAACCGTCGACGTCACCCCTGTGAAGCAATTTCCGTGTTTGTGTATTGAAACGTAGTTTACCTCCTTTTTGGAAATATCGCAGCTTATTTAAGTAGCCGCGTATAACTCTTTCAACGTCCATCCCAATTGCATAGTCCATTTGTCAATTGCTGTGCGTCGCAGCACCGCAGCCTCTACCACTTTCATTACCTTGGTCGGTAGGCGCTATTTATTATATTTCTCTCTCTCCCGTCTTTGAGCCATGTCATCGTCGCGTGCCGTTCACCGCCCGTTGTGGACGTGTTAACAGTGCTCTTTTGATTCCACCCCTTGTTGAATGTAGACCATTATAGTGCGCTGGCTTCCTCCGCCGCAAGGGATGCAGAACGGGCCTATAACCGGCTACAAAATCCGTCACAAGAAGGGCTTCAGGCGCGGAGAAACGGAAAACACAGAGGGAAACCAACTCTGGCATCAGCTTTCAGGTGGGCTCTAGGGCCGTTCGCTGGTCTAACCACTCTTATTAAGCCACTGGGAATGAATCCAGATTAAAATGAAACTCAGAAGATTTTGCAAGGCAAAGTAAAAAAAAACCCTCAACGTATAAGCGTGATTAATGGGAAGTGGGTGGAGTGTGGTGGTGCAGTGGTTCATGCACTGTGCTCTGAAACTAGTGACTTGGGTCCAATGTATGTCCTGTATGTTGAACTTCTTTCCCACCATACGTAGCTGATCACGCTAATCGGAGGTGTGGGGGAAGGACAAGGAACTATTTGCAAAAAACTGTTTTAAAGAAATTCGTTTTAACTCTGCAATGCGTGGCCACGGCTGACATCGGCGATGAGTCGTATCTGAACTGGTGCTTGGTGACTCCCAAGTGGCACTAGCCAGCGTGGTGACGTGTGGTGAATAACCCATGCGCTATTGGGATTCCTTCTTTCAGAGAGTGGATTGACAGAGGGCTGTACATTTAAATAACATTACAGGAACACGTAATGTCATAAATATTCGGTCAAGGCAAATGCTCTCCCAGCTCCACCAAGCATTCGTGCTGTGCCGATCTCAAGTGGGATCTCAGAGCTGTGTTGGTTGAAATTCTACATTTCCATGGTGAGGGCTGGTCTCTTATAAGACAGTTACCATTGATTTACAAATAAGTGGTATGCGTTTTATCTACCCATAATGGATACTGAGTCGACTCGACAGTCAACTTTGCATTTGCGGGTTGAGCTCTCTGCCAGAGCACCACAAAGCATAAATGACACTTGATGCCGATATCGTTGTATATACATGTGTAAATGAGTAATGTCACGTGTGTTATAACTTATTATAGAATTAATATTTGGTTAAATTGTGTTTTAACGTTCATCCGAGGGTCACAGTCGAACGTACAGCGATTGTGGTGGGTAAATATATTTGAAGTTGGAATTGAAGGCATTGCCTGTAATCGAAGTGGCTGGAGCAGCACTTCCTTTTACAACCACTGCTGGGGAAGTTGATGCATTTCTCTCTCCGCTTATTTAGGTCTTGAAAAGGGCTCCGAGTACAGCTTCAGGGTGGCAGCAATGAACATTAATGGGACGGGTCCGTCCTCTGAATGGGTTTCGGCGGAGACCTTTGAAGACGACTTGGATGGTGAGTCACACTTTCACGCCTATCCAGCCCTGGCGGATGCCGGATTTGCGGGTGTTTGTGGGCAAAGTGCGGCGGTCGCCAGCGGGGGGTGGCGCCGGTCGAGGCCGCGTCGGGAAGAAGAATAAAGGACAGCAGGACGGTATTCTTAAGCAACGGATGCGAAGGCGTGGATCTCCCGCGCGTGTGTATATATATATCGGGATGCCTTCATCCTTCATCTTCTGTCACCTGGAGTAGGGGGGAGGAGATGGGACCTAAGTAATATTCCCTTTTGGGTTGGTCTGCAGCATCCTCGCCGTTTTGCTTTCTCGTTACTTACACAACGTCGCACTGAGCACGAGTGCCATGTTACCGACACCCACGTGGAAATTAATGCCCAGAAACAAAGTGTATTTCTCAGTATTAATTTCTAGAGAATGGACTTACCTCTGTTAAGTCTCGTTTTCTGGGGGGTTGCGTGTAATGGTTGCCGAAAGTGAGATCATGCTTAAAAGAGGCACGGTCATGGGCATCAATTCTATGTAACATTTTGAATTAAGCATTACCGCAATGTGACATGTACACTGTAATCTATCGCGTGGCCGCTAATGGATTGTGAAATCTGTAAGGGGTCTACTCACTTTTTATTAAAAACATTTTTTTATTCACTTTATTTTTTATTATTATTTTTTCTATCTACGTGACTTTACCGAAAGAACGAAAGAATATGGGTCTACTCACTATTGTAATCGTCGACATTTTTGCCTTTGATTTTTAACGGGGGGGATATACGGCTTGCTTGGGGAGCTCGGCTGCCGCCGACTTTCCTTTTGTGCACCCCACGGTAAACGGTTAACACATTAAACTGTTAAAAAAGTCTTGAGTCATGGCCCCCTGGGTCCACGGGGATCATTTGGGGCTCCACAAAAGCCTGAAAGGGGTCTGCTGAGTGTCAAGGGGTTTGCAAGGACACAGGGGAGGCTTCTGTGATTGAGTCGGGAAACCAGCGAAGCCCGTTCCTCTCTGCCACGTGTCACCCCCCCCCCCCCCCTTCACCACACGTGCCTGGGTAGACGCCTTCATAGCGTCCACAAGAGTGGTGCTGCTGCTCGTCTGTAATACGGCACTCTGGAAGGAGGGTTGGTGCGTCGCGCAGAGATTATCGTGTGCTGTGAAAAGTCAGATCTCCTACGCTTTGAGCTGGTGTGCCCCCAGGCTGTGGAATTCACTTCCACTGGACAATCAAACGATTCGCTCAACTCCCTCGGTTTATTCAAATCCCACCTTAAGAAGCACTTATTTTCTAAGGGAGTTTTTGTTTATATCTCGTGAATAATTTGTGATGGAGATAGATTTGATTGGTGTACGCCTGCACTCAATTTTTGTTTTGCTGTGTACAGTGCCCTGTGACCTCCAGGTGAAAGGTGCTTCAGAAGCAGTAATTATTATTATTACCGAAACAAAATCCACATTACTCATCTGTGTGGACTGTTGAGTGGGATCCTCGTGAATGGCCGGTTTTCTCCAGGGTCTCCGGCTTCATTGAAAATATGCAACAACAAAATTAACAATAATAAAAAAAATCATATTTACAATGCAGGACCCTCCTAAATGAATAGTATCTTGCCTGTATAAATTAATAGCTCATGTTACAAATATATGCATTAAAATTACAATGCAGATCAGGAGATTTGGAATCCTTAGTCCCAAAATAATATGGATGAACTTCGGTCATGAAGAGAGAGAGGTAGATTTTATTTATTTTAGCGGGAAGGGCCCATTGAGCTGCTAGCCCTTGATTTATGGCCGTCCTGCAACAGTCCAGGAGTTGTACAGTACAGAACTTAGTTATGATCTTGGACGCAGGAGAGATTCACAAAAGGGCATTCTGTGAATTAAGTAAACCTCACCTTTGCAATGTGCTTGGCATTGTTGCTTGACTGTTAGCCACTTGGCAGTTCACCAATTTCAAACATGCTTATGGTCAGGGGCGGAGCCAGGGGGGGTGACAGGGGTGACATTCTGCGTGTAAGTGTATGACACTCGGTCTGGCAAACTCCGTGCAACTGCATTGTCAGAGTGTGTCGCCATCCGATGGCGGCTAGTTCAACAGCCTGACTCTCTAATCATTCTTGAAATTAACATTTGTTGAATGTCACCCCGGGCTGAAAATCCTGGCTCCGCCCCTGCTTATGGTAGTGACAAGAATGTTGTCATAAAACTGCTATGTGGCTGAACCCATTCCCCCCCCCCCCCCATATGCACATGGATTGTTACAATGCTTGTGAAATGTTTGAGTGAGTTTGATGCCCAATTTGTGGAAGCGCTGCATGACATCCTCTCCTCTCTCTCTGCGGCGAGTTGTTTGGCTTCACAGCGTTGCCCTCTCCTCTGTCCCACCGCCGCTCACCGCCGCTCACCGCCCGCTCCACCGTTTGTTTGTTTGTTTTGCGCAGAGTCGCGCGTGCCCGACCAGCCCAGCTCGCTGCACGTTCGGCCACTCACCACCAGCATCGTGGTGAGCTGGACGCCCCCGGCCAGCCACGGCGTCATGGTGCGGGGATACCTCATCGGCTACGGTGTGGGCAGCCCCTACGCCGAGACCATCCGCGTCGACACCAAACAGCGCTACTACGCCATCGACAACCTGGGTGGGTTACGACCGGAGTTGCGCTCGCTGGCAGCACGGGAAGGAGTGATGGCATGGGTGCGGTGGCATCACCACACTCATGCCGTGACGACATGGTAGAGGCTTGACCTTGATGGCTAACCTTGATGACCTTGATGACATGATGCCTATAGGACAATTGACATAAATTGAGGGCAATGACAGAATAATAAGATGAATAAGGTTGAATAATCCTAGCCCATCATCATCTTCATGGAAAATCTAAATATGTTATCTTAAATGGAAATTCACTCTTGCCATAGCACTGTGGAATTTCCATCACTGGCTCAGGGCCACTAGCAGGAATGAGCGCTTTACTGAGAAGATAGTTTGTTGTGTTTTTTTTTTTTTATGGAGAGCAATTGAAGTAACGCCAGACGTAGCTATCTGGTTGTCATCTCTCCAGGACCGTTTCAAGATCAAATGTAATACTGCTGGCAGAGGGAATATTCCATCAACGATGTTTCACCTCCACGGCCTTGTTAACACCATTTCAATAAACCGAATGCTCGCCTATCTCTACAAGAAATGAGAGCATGTTCACGACTGCACTGGCTCTGCCACTTCCCTTACCCTACAAAGTGTTCAGTTTGTTGTTTTATTTGATAGTTTTTTCGTTGCCCTCACTCCCCAAACCACGAAATATTTTTTTGACAAGAGAATGTGGTTCTATATTAATTTCTAACTATTAATGTCAGATCTATGGTATATTAACCTATGAAGAAAATGCAACTTAAAAAAAAATGCAAGCTGGAGTGCCTCACTGTTTCGTGATAAATTACCCCCAGTCAGTGAGCGTGCACTATATTTTTAATGGGTTTTTTTCTTTTTACAACTTAAAACTTTGCACTGCACAGGTTTCTGTGATTCTGCCGCATAACGCTTGGTTTTGCTAAGTTTCGCTCCGCATGCCGGGAGCTTTTTCCGGATTGCATTGTTTGTTTGTGTGAAAAATGTTGAACTTCTTCGGCACCGCACGTAGCCAACCAAGCTACACGGCGGTCGGAGGTGCGGGGCGGTTGGAAGACGACAAACTAACGCACAAAAAGGTTCCGACTGCCGAAACGTTTTCTCAAGAAGCTCCGAGCGCGAAGAGCGAAACGTTAAACGTCGTGCTGAACGAAAACACACGTCAGGATGTTCCAAATGTGATTGATTTAGTTTATCGGTTTAACACGTTTAGGAGGCTTTCGCGACCAATATCATCGATAATACAGGTTTTTTTGGGGGGTTAGATCGCGTAAATATATAAATGTGTCGTTAACGTGTATTAAAAAAAAACCTGTATTATGGATTGGTTGTCTGTGTTGACGGTATGTCCTATTTTGTCATAGTCGAAGTGAAAAGCGTCTTACTGCTGAAGCAGGCATGTTAAAGTGATCATCTCTGTTGACAGTCCTGACCCAGCGTGGGAACATTCCACATTTCTGTCAGTATCGTCATGTGATGACAATGCAGTGGCATTTACTCATCAACCCTCAAGGATGACACGGGATTAGTGGACCCCAGATTGGAATTTCAACTCGCAACCTTGTGAGTTGCCTGCTATGAGTACACAATGGAGAGATAGAAGATGAAATGTAAAAAAAAACCCCACAAATTTTACTTTGAAAATCAGCAACATGATTTTCCAACGATGATATTAATCATTGAAACTATATGAAAAATATATATAAGGTTATACACCTGGAATATAATTGGAATGGGTATTATTCATGCCAGTCGTCTACTGAACCAGATTTAGAAAACCATAGGTGGTTACAAATTGAATTGCGTGTAAAATAAATATCTAGAATTTGAAACAATTACAGCTACATGAGAGAGAGAGAGAGACGATTATCATTACTAAAAGGTAGCGTTTGCTTTTTTTATTCTCCGGAAGTAGTTTAATAAAAAAATACTTAAATAGTAAAAAAAGATCCTCATTTATCGTTATTTACTTATCTACATCGAAGAGGCCATCCTGAGTGGAATCACCTTAAACTTACTTGGTTCAGTACTGTGCCAAGGGAGAGATACTGTACAATGGCATTTGCGTTCGAGACGAGCGATTTGGCATGTTGCTCATTTTCAGGTGGTGCACGCGATATTGTAGCCTGCATGTAAATGTGGCCTCGGATTTTGTTCAAATCCACGTCGCGTTCGCCGAATGCAAATGAAGGTTCACGTGTCACTTAAAGGACGTGACGTGTCTGGTGGTATCGTCGGCGCACCAGCCCAACGCAAAGCGATCAGGCCAGGTGTTACACCACATCCCATTTGTTTCGCCCGCTTTAAGCGTGCGCCAATTCGAAGCAGAGGAGCGCACGAACTCCGAGCGCAACTTGGAACACAATAGGTTCTTGTGCGCCGTGTACGTCTGTCAAGAACGATGGACGTGACGGCAGAATCCATTCGATTTATTCATTGAAGTTTTCATTTGCCCAATGCTTGGAGTGTTGTTTGTGAAAAATGTCTCGCCCCCCCTGACTTACGATATTAAACTAGGTAATGTCATTCGTACTTGAAAAGACTGGCAGAGTACCTACGGTCAATGAAGGTTTTTTTTAATATCCACCGTAAAATACATTTCTTGCCGCGTATATTTCATGTTGGAGTATTCCTGTACAGCCATTGTTTGGCATAGTCTCTTACGCTCACTTGAATGTAGTCCACTCTGTCATGGTGACAGATCTTTTTTGTTTTGCATGGGTACGTACGTGTGTGTGTGTGTGTGCATGGGGAGCGGTCATGTAGTGGTTGGTATACTGCGCTATTAACCCAGAAAGTTCAATTCCCACTCATGGCCAGCATCAGTGAAAAATACCTGAACTGCTCCTGAACATCCCCTAGGTCAACTCACCCTCAAATGAGTGTCTGCTACAGTCTGTAAACATCAGCTCTGGGGGAACAGAAGCAGCCGCGTGTGGTGCTGGCCACCCACCACCCTCTCCCATGTGTCATGCCAACCTTGGGGAGGGGGGGTGTCTTTGTTTGCGTGTGAGCAAGAGAGATGGAGTAGTGGCACAGTGGCTAGCACACCGCGCTAAGATTTGGACAGCCCGGGATTCCATTACCGTCCACGCACAAATGTGCCTCTCCCCGTGCTCAGCGGCAGCCTTACGTGTGCGTCCCTTGCTACCCAGGCTCTGTGCGCTAGCCTTGGCCAGGATTGTACTTCTATAGCCGAGACGTCCTTCACCCCCCCCACCCCCACACACCCCCTTCGGTCAGAATGTGGTACGCTTCGCGAAAAAAAAATTGTCTCGCAAATATTTGCGCTACACGTCGGCGATGGTGCGCCGATGCTGTGAGGCCAGATCTCGGGAGGGTCGGCTGCGTTAGCAGCTGCAGGGGGACGTGGCGGAAGGTGGGGAACTAATAGGTTTAGGCGGTGCAGAGCCGTGGCTCCAAACAACGGCTTTGGCCAGCGATGACGCCTCGGATATTGACGTCAATGACGATCGATCGCTTTTTTTAAATCTCAAACCCTTCCCGTTGCTGTACGTCTGCAGAACCAAATCACCAGTACGTCATCTCTCTGCGGGCTTTTAACCAAATGGGGCAGGGCGTGCCGCTGTACGAGAGCGCGACCACACGTGCCGTCACAGGTGAGCGCCGACGTGGGTTGGCAGTGCGTCGGCCCCTCGCGCGATGTTTACCCCCCTGGCGATGTTTACCCCCCCTGGCGATGTTTACCCCACTCGCGCGATGTTTACCCCCCTGGCAAGCGATTGCCAAATTCTTTATGAGCTGGAGGATCCCCGTTTTCAAAACCGCGCTAATGATTCGCTTTGCATCATTGCCATTTGCAGCAGGAAAATGGTATTAAATAGTTGTAGGGGTTTGGTTTGTTTTCATCCAGATTTTTTTTTAACTTGTAATTGCAGTTTTAATAAAATGTCGGAATGGTATTAATTTTAATCATCGTAAAATAACGTCTCTTAGTGAAATGTCAGATTTGCGGTGGTCTTTTGCACAGTTTTTTTGTCATGCGGAATAATTAATTTTGACCTTTTGCATCAATTGTATGTGGTGGGGCAGGGATATAACATGTATACTCTTTCAAACGACTAATTATTTCTCTGCTTCTTGTTTTCTTCTCATTGTTCTCATGAACCATCACATTTCAAACCCCCCCCCCGTCCCCGTTTTTTTTTTAAACATCGTATTTATTTACGTTAATTGCATTTATGCCGTTTAACTCTCTCCACGAAATCCACACGTGCTTTGTTTATTTAATGTTTTGTTGCGTTTCACATGGTGTGACTTTGGGTTTGATTTAAATCACTCACGCGCAGACCCTGAAGATCCTGCGGAGGATGACCTGTTTGACCTTTTCGTGGACCCTTTCACGGCAGTCCCAGATCTCCCCACTCCCATGCTGCCCCCCGTGGGGGTCCAGGCCTTCGTCATCTCCCACGACACCATCAGGGTCACTTGGGCAGACAACACTCTGGCCAAGAACCAGCGCATCCCAGACGCGCGCCACTACACCATCCGTTGGAAGACATACTTCTCCACCACAGCCAAATACAAGGTGCCCCCTCCCACCTCCCTCCCTCCCTCCCTCCCCTTCCTGCACAGAGGTGTCATATTTGCATCGTTGCCAGGGAAAAAATACACGTGGCTTAAAATGGGTTTCTCCACCACCACTTCCATTAACTGTCCAACGCAATAGATGTTGCTTTTTATATAGCGCTGTGCGTACACAAAGTCCCCGATTCTCTGACGGAATTCTAATGCAGGGGCAGGAGGAACAGGCAGTGGCAGTCTTACATAGTGGCCGACCCTCCGCCATGGGAATGTGGAAATCCCACCACTTAATCGTGGTTGCCATGGGAGATAAGAAAGGCTGTTGGCACTATTACGTTCCTGCCAAATCTCGCGCAACATTCATTGTGCTCAGAGTCTATCGAGCAGTAGCAACTCGTAGCATTTTTTTCAATATTTATTTAGTTGCCATTTATTCAAACCAAAAACGTATCTGGATTGGCGGGCATAAAAGGGTGAACTTAGCATGGTCAACCAAGCCCAGAGTTGTGGTTGCAGTTGCCCCAGGAGTCAATATTGCCTCATTGGAGAATCGTTACCACTTTTGTACGTGTATGTGGTTGTTTAATGTTTAATATGTGTTCCGTTGTGTGTATGCTATTGTGTATTAGTTCGTTGAATCACTGATGCGTTGACAATTTTAAGTCTGGATTCTTTAAAAGTTTTATCAAGATTTATCAAATCAAGTGCACTATTTTTAAGGACTTTTAAATGAGCCTGAGTCTCATGATTATACGAGGATGTGCCATCAGAAAATGAGCTCCTGGGGTTCTAATTTAAGAAAAAGAATGCATAATCTTCCCCCAATTTCATTTAAATATATGTAAATTTGGTTGTAAATTATTCATGCATTCAACTTGCATAATCCACAGTTTCCACAAAAGCCAAAACCCTATACATTTGGCTCTTCACAATTATATGGTGCCCGGGGCTCAAACGAACAGTCATATGAATACATTAAATAACAGTAATTCAGTCTTGTATATGTACTAAAATATAGGAATGGGGTGGGAGGGGGTGGGTGGGTGGGTGGGAAGTGGAGAGGGCAGGAGAACGCCACTTTAGATTTATTTTTTTGGCGCATGCTGAAGCGTGTTCACACATAAATCATGGATGCCATCTGACGCATGGGGGGGGGGGGGTGTCTGCGTGTGCGACGTGCGTACGCCTCGCATCGTTTGCGAGTTTTCTGCGACGCATGGCGAGGGGGGGGGGGGTCCCCTTGACATTTTTTTGTTTGCTTTTAAACACGTTTTCAATTACTGCACCTCGATTATTTAATCTTCATTGCTCGCCCAGTGGCTTTCGAAACGGGTAATAACACATGCAGAATGCCAGGGCGCTTGGGAAATCTTTTGCTTGAATAGATTCAATGCCCTTCCATCAAAGTCAAAAGTTGTCCCCGTGCTCAAACAAGCGTTTAAATTGCCGGACTTATGGTCTTTGTAGAAATTTCATATTCGTTCATTCGTTCGTTTCTCAGTCCGCTTGTCCTGGTGACGGTCACGGTGGCAGCATGTTGAGTAGGTTGGCCCAGACCTCCCTTTCCCTAGCTACAGACTCCAGCACTACTACACTATACACTACACTATACACTACACTACATACAACACTATACACTACAATACTGTACACCGACTCTAGCTCTTCCTGGGGAATTCCCAGGCATTCCCAGGCCAGCCGAGCAACAGTCCCGCCACCGTGTCCTGGGCCGGCCCCAGGGTCTTCGCCCAGTTCATATTTGTGTTATATCAATATAGCTCTTGATGTCCTCATTCTATACTTTTTTACTTAAAATGTTCGACCCTGGAGGGATGATGGGACTGTGAGTCACCGTGCCACCTGGCTGTATCTGAATGCTAGTCAGATTATATCTGAATATATAGTCTTTGGTTCTTTCGGTAAAGTCACGTAGGTATAAGATCAAATAAATCACGACGTTTCGGGCGCAACACAAGCGTCCATCATCAGGTGGGAAAGCATGGTCTGCCTCAGCAGCAGACCAAAGAGTATGGAGTATGGATTCCTGCAGTGACGAAAGCTTCAAATCATGATTATATCTGAATATTTATCATGTTACTTATCGTAATACTTATCATAGTATTGGAATGATTGGTTTGGAGAAGTGGGAGCACAGTGGTTAACAGCACTGTACTATACACCCAACAACCCGAATTCGATACCATGGCTAACGTCCCTGGTGAATTATATTGCTGGACATTTCTGAACATTGGACATCTGTGGAAAAATAGCTTCAAAGCTCATTGGATTCCTCCAGTCTAAATCAAGATTATGATTATGGTAGCTGCACTGGTCCTGCCTCCATCACCCCCTTCGCCAACCCACACTGACTGGCATGGTGAAGTACGGTCGAACAACCACCACGACCCACGTGGCGTGGAAGGCCTTCATTCAGCAGTTGATAAAAAAAAACAATTGCTGAGAATTATTAATGATCATTGGGGATGATTCCGTGCCATAACAGTTATCATACTGGGCTTGCAATCCAGAGGTTGCCTGCTCGATCACAGATAGTTGATCGGCAGATCTCACATGATGGGGTAAAGTGTGGGTGCTCCCACACCTCTTCCAAGATGTCTGGCCAGGGTGAAAGAGTAGGCCAAAATATCCTAAACAGGGGGCGGGGGGGGGGGGGATTTTTTGAGCCCCATCTCGCTATGGCCCATCCGTCAGCGATGGCACCCACAAACAGTTGCAGGTCTGCGTATTTAACTTTGTCTATAATAGAGGTTTTTGTTTGGGGGTTAGATCGCGTAACTCTAAATGTGTCGTTAAACCTATTTATATTTACGCGATCTAACCTAAAAACGTCTATTATGCAATATATTGGTCGCGAAAGCCTATGACTACTACGTGTTAAAATTACTACTACTACTTAAACTTATTACTACGTTAAACGTACTACTACTACTTGTTAAAATTACCTTCGTTAAACTCACCTTCGTATTTTTTTGAGCTGATCGTCATCGTCGCCTGATCGTGCAGACGGCGAACTCCACGACATTCACGTACCTGGTGAGCGGCCTCAAGCCCAGCACGCTGTACGAGTTCTCCGTCATGGTCACCAAGGGACGTCGCTCAAGCACCTGGAGCATGACGGCACAGGGCACCACAATGGAGGCGGGTACGTGTCGAAGCTTACGCTCCTCGAACTGCATCCTCCGTGCATACGTCCGTCAACGGTGGCTAGGAGATGTTAACTACCTCGCCCGGTATGCAGGAGGTCGTGGGTTCGATCCCGACCCTGACGCCTGCTGCTGTATATTTGGAGTTTGCGTGTCTCTCTCTCTCCCCATGGTCGCGTGGATTTTTCTCCGGGTCCTCTGGTTTTTACCTCGACATTTAGAGTCAACGTCACGCGTTTAGAGTAATTGGCTGCTGTAAATGTCCACGTGATAAGCCACTTTGTTGAGCTATCGTTTGAGATAGCCAGGTCGCGTCTGAAAAAGAGCTACATAGTTCAGTGGGCCCGACCTGGTAGAATGAAAAATAAATGTTATAGTTTTTAAGTTAGGTAAAAAATATCAGTCACGGCCTGCATTGTGCGTGGAGGCCTGAGTCCAGCGGCAATTTTGATGGATTGATCAATGGACGGAACGCATCCCTGTCCATCAAGGCTTGTGGATGTAGCCTGTGGAAAACGAGAGACACTGGGGAGACACATTCCAACAAAAAATGTAATTTTACCAGCAGTGGCTGTCAAGGACACGGAGTTTTAAAGTCATGGCAGCATGTGTTGCTGAGAGTCCTTTTCTTTGAACCTTGCCGATTGAAGTTTGTGCTCATTTTACGCTTGTCGTGTTCAGCCGCAGTGCAGTGCACGTAACTCTGTGTCCGTGCAGAACACTGCCGCACAACTGCAGAGCACATTGGGGATTTATAGAGCATCTTAATGCAATTGCGCCGTGCTAATGAGAGCCCTAAAGCTGCTATTCGGTGCCAGATGCTGTGCGTGAGTGTGTTTTGCGGAGTGGCATCGTTATCTTTAGCACACTGCATTACAGCAACCCAAGTTTAATTACTATATACGCTTACCATTGGTGAACGTTATTTGAAACCGATGTAGGTCTCTCTTTAGATTGCTTAGGCCTGAAATGAGTATCTGATATGTCATCAGCATTCCTTTATTGCCACTGCCATCGTCATCAGCTCTGATCAATTCACTGCAGAATCAAGGCCTCCCCAACCCATTGCCATCTCTTATGGTATCGCGATCCAACATTTAATCTAGCTCCTGAATTCCATCATTCCATCTCCCCGGCGGACTTCCTCTAGAATTCCGTCCCTTGGCCGCCATTCATTTTTCTTGACCATCGCACATCATCCCTTCTCACAACGTGCCCTGCCCAAGCCCACTTGCACGTTAACCCTTTCCTGTTTCGAAACGTCTGCAAGTTGCAGGGTGGGTGTCCCATTCACTCCTGAATCTCGGAATGAGCAAGCGGCTTAGCGGAACTTTTATTCAGAGAGGCGTAGCGCCGTTGTTTTTAAAAGGCATTATGCTCACCGCAGAGAACTGTAGCAACACGACCGCACTCTACGATAGCTGGAGCCAAACTGTGCCACACGTCCTCCCGCATGGCCTTGTGGAAGCCGCGGTTATTCTACTTAAGTTTTCCTACTAGTTTTGTTGCGTACATGTACGTCATTGGAACAGGAAAGTGTTAATAGGTATTCGCTAGCAGCATTTGCACTGACAGTCTGTGTTGTAAAACGGCATGTTTGCTGTTGTCTTGTGGATTTTTTCTCCGGGTCCTCCGGTTTTTCCCTCCACATTTTGAGTCATCGTGCGTTCATATTATTTGGTTGCCATACATTTCCACACGATGATCATCCACCTCGTTGAGCTATCATGTGTGGCCTGGTTGCTTCTGAAAGAGAGTGATGTAGCTCAGGCGGGTCTTACCTGGTAAAATAAAAAAAAATGGTTAAACTAAAATATGTGCCAGGGGAGTTATTAATTTCACATCGAGACGCCTGTTATTCTGGATTTCGTTTGGGATATTGCTTAATTAAAAGGAAACCGTCAAGCCAACATTAAACTGGGCAAAGCGATTGCAGTGCTCTTGGTGGAAAATAAATAAAATGTCAGGTGTGAAAGGAAAACATTCATCATTTGATTCACAGCCTTTTGCATTGATGACTTCAAAATTGAAACCCATAATTTATAAACTTCCCCGTGGAAGGCGATTGTCTCTATTCGTGTAATGTATTGGGAATGGCAGATCTATCTGGATAGCGTTATGGAAACTTAAACTTAATAATACAATCAGGAACTGAGTGACATGTGATATATAGTGAGGTGGGATTTTCTTCTCTCCCCCTCATGAATAAATTCAATGGTAATTTTTTTCATCTCATTAAAACAAACAAAAAACTGGCTTATAATGGGATATTTAAAATAAATTGTTTTGGTTTGTTGACACACAGAAATGGATACATATATAAATTCCCATTGTCGTAGCCCTTCAGCCTTTACGAATGGTTGAGGTAAGTGCTCTTAGCAATCAACTACTGGGGCTGGCACGTCACCCTCCTGGTAGTGTGACCAGCCCCATGCCTCGTCCAACTTTTGTCTCCTCATTGCTGATGTTTACACCCAATTTAAGGCTGAGTTGACCTCGTAGAAGGCCCAGTACAGGATCATATACCGCTTTCAACTGATATGCATCGGTTGAAGAAATTGCAGCACAAATACAACAACAGCTGCTGCCATTCACCTGTAAGTGGCGACAATGTCACCACAGTGCATGTGCCAGGCTAGATGCACTTTGAGGCCACATGCAACATACAGATGTTTTGTAAATTGTTAGATGTTTCAATTGGTTCACAAACCGACCCGCTTTATATTTTTTTATTCTGTTCTTCCTGAAGCTGTCTCCAAAGGGGAGAGGGGAGTGAACTCATTTTTGACCATCTTATGATTTTCTAAGCTTATTTTCATCGAACAGACGTATGATTGTTTGCACTTGATGTTACTCTGTGGACCGTGACAAAAATCATGGAGGCACTCACCCTGAACATTCACTGCCTGCTCATGCACCAACACAGGCACGTTGCACACACACACACACAAATTAGCAATGTAGATTGCCCCAAAAGCAGGCGGCTTGCTTGGAAACAGCTCTTGAAGACGCCCATAACTGTCGCGGCCTACTTAAGGCACTTTCAGAAATCCGAAGGCAGTTGTATAAATCCCCGGATGCGTACGCAAAGTTTTCGTTAATCAATTTCTCTGTTGACCTCTGTTCCCAACACACGCATTTCGCAATCGATTTCGAGTGATCGCCCGCCCGCGCATTCCAGGCCCGCCGCCCGTTTTGCTCAGTCGACTTCAGGAGGTCGCCGGTTCTCGTGTCCGTCGTTACACTCGTGTTCACGGCCGCCCGCTCGGTTACTCCTGAGGCAATTATTATCGGGTTGTTGTCGTGTTTTGGTTTTTACCTAGCTGTAGCCCACGCAGTTAAAAGCTCATAAAAGCGGGGCGCCGCCTTTAATATGGCTTGTAGCAAGCCATCCCTCGGGTGTCCGTTTTGCTGCTTGAGGGGACCCCACTGCTCGCGGAGAGAGCAAATGTGTTGTTACAAGTGGCACGCATTGTCACGTTGCTCTTATCAGATGGTCAAAGGCAGGTAACGGTTAAAATCGGTGCCCGTTGATGTCACCACACCTTTGCAAGAACCTTCTGCATTTCTGATCGATTTTACGGTTATGTTCTTTGGGTCTTTCGGTAAAGTAAAAAAAAAACTACGACGTTTCGATTGCAACACAAGCAATCGTCATCCTTTCTTTTTTCCTCCTGATGACGATTGCTTGTGTTGCGATCGAAACGTCGTAGTTTTTTGTAAAAGAAATAGTTCACCGTGACTTTACCAGAAGACCCAAAGAATATGAATTCCTGCCGTCACGAAAGCTTTAAGTCAAGATTTTACGTTTATTCAACATTTAACATCTGACCTCCAAAAATTTGTGATCACGAGTGTTCCACCATCTGGCCCCTTAGGCCTCCTTCCCCTTTTGGGTCCTACTTGGTGACTGTCCCTCCTCTAGCCTGCACACGTGCATCATCCAATAAAACCTCCTCGTGTATGTATGTTGAACGTCTTTCGTACCGTACGTAGCCAACCGTGCTAATCGTCTGCAATGATTTGCTGTAAAAGTGCTTTTCTGTAACATTCTATTGGTTACCTTATCCTCCCTCATCTTCCCATGGAATTATTGGCATACTCCCAGGCCATAAGCTTATTGTAAATGTTCTGCTTCCTCCTATATGGCAACACAGGCGTTACACCTGCCTCTAACACTTATCGTTTAATGCTAAAGTTCATATTTAAAATGGTCCCAAAGTGTAGTCCACCAATTTTAAATCCCACGTTACTTCAATTTCAAAATATTTTTTTCAAAGCAGATGACCATTGTGTAGTTCATACCGCCAGTTTATTTATTTGTTTGTTTCAAAATACACTTGTAAGAAGTTGGAATTTGAAGTGCAAATGGGAAAAACGTGCGTCAGTGTGAGAATAGTCACCACCAAGGCACTGTGCTGCTGCACGAAGCCTTGGAGAAAATAGCAAAAAGTAATTGGTTTGTGTTCATTTAAAAACACAGAATGTGTTTCTTCTAAATAAAACACGAGAAACCGATTCATCATAGACCGACTGCTAATTAAAAGTTACTTTCACAAAACTACTCACAGAGCATAGATTGTATTGCTACAGAATGGTGTGGGTGGCAGTTTATTAGCTTCGTGCCATTTTGCCGGCACAGCTACGTGAATACACTCACGAGAGTCGGTTTCAACGTGAACTTTTTGGCCATCTATGAATTCCCTGAAGCAATTTATAATGTGACAAGCAGCATGAACACACATTGTTATATTTCCCTCCATAATGCAATTTCATCTCTAGAGCTGTTCCATCGTGTCTGCTTTTACAGTTGAAGTCATTGTCTGAGGTTACATTTATTTTATAAATGCGCTCTTACTTCCGTTTTTGATATTAGAGCTATTATTTTTTTCCCTCTCATGAAAGCACGTGAACATTTTAAAGTGGTCGTTTTCTTGACAGCCATACTTTGCAAGATGGATGTAGTGAGCAAAGCAGTGTTGCAATGGTCCCCTGTTATGTGCACACTTATGTTGTGACTTCAGCGACTTGCGCACATTCTGGTGCGTTTATAAATGGGAGCGGAAAGATATGAATCATTGCCCGGTTCACAACACGCAGCATTGCAGATTGCCAGGTGGCGGATCGACGTGGCAGCACTTAAGTTGCTTCGTTACGGTACAGCTGCCCTTTTATCTCATCAAAGGACAAGAAACAAATACCTTTAAAGACCCACGTGTTGCCTCACAAAGGCGTCGAGCCAGGGGGGTGGTCTGGCACAGCCGCAAGCTAATTTCCCGGTGCACGTTCTTCAATGTTTACGCGTTTGCTGCTCTCATTTCAGTGCCTTCGTCCGCTCCAAAGGATCTCACGGTCATCAGCAAAGAGGGAAAACCTCGGACCGTCATTGTGAACTGGCAGCCCCCGGTCGAAGCCAATGGCAAAATCACAGGTACAGCCACTCCCCCGCGAGTTCCTCGAGACGTCCCCGTAAGTGCGTCGCGTCCGAGGCCTTCCGCGCCCTGGGTAGCCTTCGCCCGCATGTGTTCGGCGTTAAAGCGGGGATGTGGTCTCGCATCGGATGTGCGCCCCGCATGAGCCGCGCGGTGAGTGACGAACGGGCCGTCGCAGTTTCCTTCACGGTCACGGGGGCTTTACTGTGCTGCGGGCGAGATCGTATTTCGTAGCTCGTTGAACAACAAGTTACGTGACGCGGAGAGAAACGATGTTCGAGCCGAGCGCGTCGCACCTCTGCTGTGCACGTTTTGTGGGCCTCGCGCCAAGTGTAAGCTGTGTTTTCCCCCCGTGGATTGCTGGTTAAAAAGGACTCGAGTGGCATCCACTTGCCCGTTAGCGTCGTTCGACTTTGCAGTGCCCGCCATGTGTCAACGTTCACGCGTTTCTGCGCAGAAGTAAAAGACGAACGGTCTCCTAAACATATTTTGAACGTGTTTGTCTTTGGACAGTGCTTATCGACAGCCTTGAACCATAATTACAAGTGAATCAACTTCATTGACTTTTTCGGTAGTGCAATATTTGCTCGTCGTCACAGCCGCTTCATTCGCGGTCTGCCGTTGCTGTTAAACATCATTGGATGAAAATGCTTCATATTGTGGAAATGAATATCATATTAGACCACCTAATGCTCACGGGGTGCAGCAGTAGCGCAAATGCCACGACGAATCTGGTCACCTGAGTTGGATTCCCAGCCACAGCTTGCATCAGTGGAAAGTGATATGTGACCTGGTGCAAGAGAGGACCCCCACACTGACTGACCATGATGGAGAAGTATGGTCAAACAACTGCCACGACTGACACGGCATTGGGGAGGCATTCGTCCAGCAGCTGTTTGTCAAAGAGCTGTGCATTATTACAAATCGTTATTACGTATAGCTGATGCACATATTTACAATTCTCAGAGTCACAGCCGTTGCAGAACATCAAAATAAATGCAGTCACACGTGTTTTCCAAAGGATATTGGTATTTCACATTAATATAGCTGTGGAAAATGTAAATAATGCTTTCCCGTGGGATATGAGATTTATTGCACATACCAAAGCATAATCATACACGTGATATAAATACATTTGTGTGCATGAACATGTCCGATTTGTACGCGACAAAAGCCCAGCCATTGTTGGTGGGGCTTCGTGCCATGAATAGACTGGAAGCCTGTCTGGCAAGCCAGCAGATAGATGTCCTTGATGTCGCACGTTGGAAAAGACTTTGCCTTGAGGAGTATTCATTAAAGCACGAACACTCTTACAATTTGCTGGCGGGGAATGGGGGGGGGGGGGTGGGGGGCTTAACTCTGGAAGATATATGCTTAGGAGAAATGCGAAACACACGTTGCCTTTTATGAATAATAAAATGCATCGACGTGAATTATATTACTGAGAAAAACGAATTACGATAAATCAATGCAGTGTACGTACACGTTTGTTTCAAAAGGTTTGTTAGCGTGTGTGTATTTGTGAGTGCTGGGTTCAGTGGTGGCACAGTCGGTGGTCCACTGCTCTCCCATCTCCCTCACATGGAGTCCATTCTCAACCACGCCCATCTTCAGTTGCAAGAACGATATTAGTATTTGTTACGTACTTACCAAGTGGTAGGCTGCTGAATTTCGATCCCTTTCACCGCATACCAATTTTCACAAATAAATAATTTGTATAAAGTAGGTACGATTACCTTCGAAATTTGGATAAAAGTGTAACAAAAAATCAGCTGCCTATTAATTAAATTGGTAGGCTTGCAAGTATTTAACACGTACTCATTGACGGCTGCGTTGACGTAGAGGAAAGTGCCCAGTGCAGGCTAAGACAGATAATACTTACTGCTGGTGATGCACATGGTTGAGAATGGAATCCAGATGATACATTGTGCAGCATCGGGGGAACAACTGCATCTGGGCACGATGCTGGCACCACCACCCAAGCGCCCCCATTCCTTGTGCCATGCCAGGCTTAGTAGGTCGGTGCTCATGGCACTTGCCCCGACGGAATGAAGGGCTTGAACGGAGAGGTGGCATGTTTGTGTTTTTTTTGTGTTTGGTGGGACAGGTTATATCATCTACTATACGACCGATGCCACAGCTGAGCTGCATGACTGGGTTGTGGAGCCTGTGGTGGGTGACCGTCTATCCCACCAAGTGCAGGAGCTCACGCTGGACACGGGATACTACTTCAAGATCCAGGCTCGTAACACCAAGGGCATGGGCCCGCTCTCCGATGCGGTGTCGTTCCGCACACCCAAGGGTGCGTACCCCACACTCCCAGTGCCATGCATTGCATGAGGATAAGGATTTGTATGAATAGGGCGCTTAAATGCTTCGAGGTGGCGTAATGGTTTGCAAGCCTGAATCGCAAGCCCAGAGGTTGCTGGTTCAATCTTCGCCGGCCATAGCATTTTAAAAAAATTGTGAAATTCGTTTTTTTTTTTTAACATCTCCCCGCCTCTGTCCACCCAGCAGTGTAAATGGGTGTGGTGGGGTAAAGTGTGGGTACTCCCACCTCTTCCAAGATGCCTTGTCAGCATGGAAGAGTAGAGCAAAATGCACTCTAGTGTGCATCTCTAGAGCTGCCACGAGTGGCGGCCCTTCCACCTGCGGGGTAGGCGTTAGCAAGCGATTGCAGGGCTGCACCTTTAACTTTTCACATAAAGGCCTCGTTATTACAAAGCCCCTTACCTGGGGGCGTACACCTGCGTATTCCAGCTATGCAGCATCCAAAGTGGCTGCAGGCGTTACGGTGAAACAATTGCATGCGGGGTACGAATTAGAAATAGAATCCTTCTCGTGACAGTATTCTGGTGCATGTGTTGTGAATGTGTAACGACCTATTTTTACTGTTCATGACAACAATGCGTCTGTGTGTTGTTTCATTACTTCAGCTTCTATCATCACTGATGCACGAGAGAAAGATATCGTGAAGAAAAGAGCAGTAAAACCAACAAATCCCCTAAGCAAAGGCATAATTCCTTTTCTCCACACAATGCTAGCATAGTTCTGTTTTCCCACTTGCCTTTTGCTCTTGGCCAAAGAGTAGGAGATATAACCCGAGCTTCTTTGTGCTGTTCTCAATCTAACTTGGAGCAATGATACCAGGTGTATAGTTTGTACTTTACAATAATGTATTCGACATCATTTTATATACGGAAAAAAGGTCCCATTGATGCATGCACGCAAAGGATGCATGCACACATTTTTTTTATAACCTATTCAAAGGGAATATTGAAAGTGTAGGTATTGCCGAGTTGAATTTCACAGTGTCTCCTTCATCAAACGTGAAATCGACGGTGCGCCTGTCCATCGGCTACCTTGGGCTTATGGTGCAAATTAAACATTCTGCAGGACATGGGACAACGACTGTTTACTTCCCAACAAAGTGGTAATTGTTTTCTTGGCCCTGGAGGGGTCATGGGCTGAATTAGAATGTGCACTTGCGACCTTCACGTTGTAAGTTGGGTGTTCTCATCCGCGGCATAACCTGCCCAAACATGGACGCATATTGCCGAGCGTTAAACCGACGCACGCGTATTCTCATTTGAAATGATTCTGCGAGCGTAATTTTGCCTGACAACGGGACGGTTTTTTTGGCCATGGCCGATTTGTATAGTTACCGACTCTTATTCATGGGCCGTGGCAGACCAAACGGGGTGCACACTATTTTTTGCGTTCGTCCCGTGATTGGTGGCGCTTTCGGCTGAAGTTATGTTCCGCCTCCGCTTCATCCAGCTTTGCCTTGGGGGCAAAAATAGTGATTTATTGCCCGCGCAGAGAACCAGTGCTTGGGGGGAGATAACACTGTATTTCATTCATACATTCCATTCATTTTGGCGGTGCGTTCATTTATTTTGCAGGGACGCGCAGCCGAGATGTGGAATCTCATTTTATATCGTGGCCCCAGTCTGCGTAACAGGGTCACATTCCATTACAGATTAGATGAGCGGGTGCATTGCGGAAGGTCTGCTGGTTAACGGGGCTTTGTAAAACGAGGCATCGGATAGCTCGCAGATATTTGTAAAAGTACGACAGTGGCCACGGTAAATCCAGCGTCCTTAGTGTTTCGACCTTGGTCCAGAGGATTGCTTGCCCGCCGACGAGCTGAAAGCTTCGCCGAAATTTATTTGAGTCTCGCTTGCTCTTTTACACCACGCTCGAAAAGCATTCCAGGCAGCCATTTCCTCTCGACCCCAGAGTGAGCAAATTTATGTGTTCAGGGTTTTTCTTTTTAAGCCTTGAAAGGAAGCTGACCAAACACACTTAAACGTAACACCACCTATTTCCAACCATCCCGGATGTACGGCAGACGGCTTTGCAAGCAAGAACGAGTAGAACTTATTTTGAGTGTCAATGAGAGCACATCTTATGCAGACAGCTTTCTGTTCGCAAATGGTCGATTGTGGGGTGTACAACATTCGCTGACAACCAGCTGTGACCATTTAAACGGATCTAACAGCTATGAGTGGCGTAGGATGTTGGCATGTTCAGTGTCGTAAATGGGTATATGAACGAGTGATTTGTGTTAATTATCCAATGGCTATGCATTGCTACTGCATCTATAATATGTCAGCAGCTGGAAAAGACATCTTTATGGCTCTAGAATTGCTAATGTGGTGAACCTAAGTAAAGCAGAGCTGTGATTGGCTTTTGCGGAGGCAAATCATCTCATTTCACCGAATTCATTTCCATGTAAGCTGTTCAATTATAGCTTGTGTGTTTCCAGCCATCAAACATCATCCAGCATAAATACGTAATAAGTGTTCAGCACATTCAGTTTGAAGGCATTGTTTTGCTTGACGTTCGGAAGTACGTCAAAAAGCATCCTTGCATTAATGCGTTTCAATCAAATGTTGAGCCCCCGAACAAGTCTTAAAACATCTTAATATATAGAGGACTGCAGAGCAATTGTTGGTGCCGGCTCAACGCCTGGGAGCCTTTCTAGCGTATCTGTTGCACCTCGTTGATTGTGAGATGCAATTTGCATAACGACACTATCTAAAACTAATAATGAGATTTAAAAAAAACATCTATCGTTAGAACGGCACGAAGCTGAATTCTTATTATCGGTTTACATTTCATGAAAACTGCTTCAGTAATGCAGTCCACGGTGTTGTCTCAAGCTACGAAACATGATTTATGCTGCGGCGCTACTTTACGTTGGTCGAAGGAGGGGGGGGGGGTGGAATATGATGTTGTAATTGCCTGGAAAAAAAACCAAGTGTCAATAACAGTGTGCTTACTGAAAAACAGTTAGGAGTTGGGGGAGGGGGGTAAATCTGGACTTTTGTGTTTTTATTGGGCAGTTTGGGTTTTATGTTACGCACAATGCTCGTGCAACACAGATAGTTTTTTTTGCTTCAGCAGCAGCAGCAGGATCACTTAAATATTGCTGCAGGCCACTACCCAAAGACACATTGATTTCTTTCAGGACCAACAAAAATCACTCGTTTAGGGAATGAGTAACAACGCTGCTGCTGCCAGACTCGATTCCGAAAGGGAAAACTTGCCATGAAAATTTCGGGAAAGTGCTACTGGATAGGGCATACTTTTATATTCAATAATAGAGCCTGTGTACATGTATTTACTCAATGTAAAATGCTGTATATACTACAGTTTAGTTTGGAGGACTGTTTTTCGAATGTTGATTATTTTTCTCCATATGATTGTTAATCCAAGTCTGTACGTTCGTTGAACGTCTTTCGCACCGTGCGTAGCCGACCGTGCTAGTCGGGAGGACAACACACTAACCACAACAAGCAGTTCCAAATAATTTAGTTTTCATTTAAAATACACTTGGCTTCGTGGTTTTGGCCACCCACCCCCTCGTGTGCCGTACCGACCTTCATCGGTGCCCACTAACGGCACTGGCTCCTACAGTCTGTTCAGGCTATATGGTGGTGGCGGGGGGGGGGTCTTTGTCTTCATGTGCTAGCTGGCTGACACACTAACTCTGTTTCACTTGTAAACTTTTTTGTGACCTTTCCTTTGTCTAGCGTGGTGTTTGTGTGCCACTCCCTGGGAATTGCCGGGCTTTTTCCGGAATGTTGTTGTCTGGGAGGTTGTTGTTGTTGTTCTCTTTATGCATTAGCAACTACTTTAAGTTACATACGTGCAATTTTTACGCCTTCCACGTTGTATGTTTTTTTTGCAAAGGCTTCTACCAATGCCAATAATACCAATGACAAGCAGTATTCAAACCCGTCTTAAATATTTGTTTGCGACATTTACAGCTTTTGTTGCTCGTGGCTTAATCGTTCTTGTTACAGTTTGACCCACGGGGTCATTTTTTCATCCCCCATACTTGATGAAACATTATCCTTAAGTAAACCTCATTACTAATCAAGGCATTACTAATTTAAGAAAACATGAATGCCCTAAGCTGTTTTGTTTGGAGTCCTCCATTTTCAAAAGCTCGAGAGCTGCCGAGTGCAAAATTTATCATTTTCTCTGGCTAACACTGTTACTGTTCTTGCCCCTTTTTTCCTCCCCTCTGTCTGCTGATGTCTACTGCTGTCCACCCTTCCTGTTGGCACCAGTTTCCACCACTGCTGCAAAAGGGGCAGTTGGAGAGGGAGGCTCCTGGCCTGGCAACCCCTTTGACAGGGCCAGTTTCAATGGTAACGATGACACATCTGCAGTTTCCCGCAGGAGTAATCGTTTGTGTGTGTATGTGTTGGTGTATTGGGGAGTGGTAGTATAGAGGCTAGCGCACTGCGCTATTAACTCGGCGACCCGAGTTCGATTCCCGCTCACGGCCAACACCAGTGACGATTATCTGAACCGGTCCTGGGCCTCCTCCCCTAAGTGGACTCGGCCTGCAAGTAGTACCTGGTGCAAGTGTGTAAACATCGCCACTGGGGAGACAAAGGCGGCCGGGCGTGGTGATGGCCACCCACCCCCTCGTGTGCCATTGCCTGCCTTCAGAGATGCTCCCTAACAGCACAAGCCCCTACAGTCTGTTACAGGCTATATGGGCGGGGGGACCTTTGTCTTTGTGTGTTATACGGGGAATATGTGTATGTCTGAGACACTGCTATGCACCTGACTTGTATTGCAGGTTCTGGGCATTGCTTAGGTCGACTTGGCCTTACATGATCACCTGGTGCGGCGAACAGCACTTGCCTGAGGCAGCCTTGTAAAGGCCGTATCGGGGGGATCTTTTTGTGCGTGTCTGTGGGAGAGAGACAAAGCGATGGTGCAGTGATGAGTGTACTGTGCTACAAGTCTGGGATTTTGTTCGTGTCCCTGTATAACACCACGCAAGAGTCTTATCAGCATCTAATCAACATGTGGAGCGGTGTGTGAACATCACAAATGTGTGCTTTGGGCTCGACCACAGCACTGTGCCAGCCTTAAAAGGCCATTGCTAGCTGCCCTCACCCCAGCAGTACAACCAATGTATGTTTTTTGTATGCACATGTACTCATGTGTACATGTATCTATGCGCCTGTGTTCATGTTGGTGTGTATATGCGTGTGCGCATCAGCTTCATGAGTGTGTGTTTTGACAGCTATGCATCACAGTTATTGCATTAGGTCAGTTCCATTAATTCCACAGACATGCTTTGTAATGCAAAATAATGTTCTTAACGGGCCTCATTCATTCATCATAACTCCATATGTGTGTATTCTTATCATGCAACATGTTTCAATTGCCAGGTAACTACTATTTCTAATCTCGAAAGAATATTTGGTAGTCTTATTGAAAGAATATGACGAAAGGGTAGTCCTTTTTAGAAAATATTTCTACCATTTTGGTGCTGTCCAATTTATTCACGATGACATTTTGATGTGGTTGCCAGCTCGCTGTAGAGCATGCCACGAACATTGACACAGGCAACACGCAGCATCGCTCAGTGCAGTGAAAAGCTGGCTTTGCAGGGATTTATAAGCAGAGCAGAAACATATAACATGGCAGAAGTTCGTTTTTCTGAGCAGTCGTAGTTGCAATTCTAAGTTGTCGGGATGGCACAGAGCTCTCTGAATGGCTGCCGTGACAGCTTGCGATGATCTTCAAAGCATCGGGCAGGGTGGAGACTGTTCCCTGCGAGAGAGAGGCCCCTTTGTGGAATGCGGTTGCGTGGGTGATCGGGTGTCCTGCAGACGCCCCGACGGGACAGATCCCGCCTCCACAGGGCGCCCGCGGCTCCGCGCTGGACAACAACCTCCTCATCATCATCGTCGTGACGGTGGGCGGGGTGACCGTCATCGCCGTCATCGTTCTGGCCGTCGTGTGTACACGTCGCTCCGCCGCCACGCAGAAGAAGTGAGCGCAGGGGGCGGGGGGGTGTGCGGGAGTGGGTGGGGGGGGGTCAACGACGAGCGGCGTCACCACCACTGACCTCCCTCCCTTCCCCCGACTGTTCGCGTAGTGTGGCCGGTTTGTGTGCCAACCCGAAACCTGCGCCTGTACCGCTCACATTGGGCAGACGCTGCCGTGGTGCCGGGATTAGTGTGCTGGACCTTCGATGCAGAGGTCACCGGTTCGATTCGGTCTCTTGCGGCACGGAATTCGAAAGGATGTCTCAAGAGACTTAAAATCACAGCCTGCCTTATTCCACCCGGCAGTATCAATGGGTCCTCCATGGTGAGTCAGTGGGCACGCCTTGTGTGGTGGGGTAAAGCGTGGTTACCTCGCACTTCTTCCAAGGTGTTGGGCCAGCATGGGGCTATTATTCTAGAGCTCTCTCTAGTAGAGGCCCTTCCACCAGCAGTGGTGTGAGTATGTCATTTTTTGGGCTGCTACTTAACCCTTTCATAAATCAATGTTACACATATTTTTTTCAACTACGTACCTTTATACACAAGCAGAGTGATATCATAAGTGTTCATTCATTTTAATCAATCAGTGTTGGGCTGTATCATGCTAGATGTGAGTTAATGGTCCTCAGCCAATGTGTGTGGTGTAAATTCGATATTCCTTCGCCAGTCAGGAACGAGTGAATGGACAACCACTGTTGACTTTCTGCAAAGTGGTACTTAAGTTATGACCGTGAAGAGACGAGTAATTGACATTGTGGCAAAGTGACCATGTCACAATTGGCCAGACGTGTACACTCGCACGTGCACAAGGAAACATTCATATGTGTTATTTTTTTCCAACTGCGTGTACATTTAGACATAGGCAGAGTGATATCATAATTGTTAATTCACTGCACTAATATTGTAGCGAGCACTTTTGATTCCCGCCTATGCACAACACTGCTGGAAATTGGCGTTTGAATCTGGCCACTTCCTCCCCTGGGTCAACTTGGCCCTAACATTCACCAAGGTCTCGGTGTGGCCAAATTAGCATAGGAGACAGAGGCAGCCAGTCACGCGTGGTGCCCCTCTCCAACTGCCATCTAATTTTACGTGGCGTTCTTATTGAACGGTAGCGAGCAACACTTGACCCAGCGGTCTGTCAGTGCGAGTGGAGCGTTGCTATCTTTGCGAGGTGCACATTTAATAAAACTAATAATAACAATTCATTTGGCATTGGAGCCATTCTTGTAGCGCACAGGCATCACATAGGTTGCCATGTGTCACACAGCCAGTCGGGGCAAATGTTGTTTTCCCCAATTAAGTTGTGGGTCGTTTAATACAATTTGGAAACTATAGACCGTAGCACTGACACACGAGAGCTATTATTTTCATTTAATGTAAAACGTCGCAGGATCTTTAATACCCACTTTGAAGCATATTTGTGGGTTAACACACCTGGAGTATTAACCAGGACGGACACTCCGACGATCGTAACAGGCGGCAAATGCGCTCCCGCTCGACCGAGTCACCCTTATATACACACACATATATACACACACACATATATACACACACATATATAGTGCGTGATGGCTCGCAAGACTGAGTATGAACAAAGCAGCCCGCACTTTGACTCTCTGAGCCATGCAAAAATCCCCCCACAGTGACGCCCAGTGAAATTTTAGGGTTTTTTTTTTCACGTGCACCTCCCAACAGGAAAAGGTCGGCGCACAAGCCCAACAATGGCTCGGGCAAACGCAAAGGCAACCCCAAAGACCTGAAGCCTCCGGACCTGTGGATCCACCATGAGACGGTGGCTCTCAAACCAATGGACAAGTCGCCGGGACCCGACAGTGCCCTGACGGACACACCGATGACGCACGGCTCCCACGAGATCGAGGGCTACGGTAACCGTGAGCGCGGCGCCTAATTGGCTCCGAACATCGGGACGCAAACTGGCAGCAAATGCATCCAAGAAGAGTGTTCCCGCGATGCTGCATTCTGTCGTCGTTGCTAAAGCCATTGTTTTGAGAATTCTTAGCATTTGGAATCAACGTTTAATTTGTGGCTGTGCAGCAGGCTCCTGATTGGCTATTTGTGGTGGTCCATGTGATCAGATATATTACAGTGTTGGTCATGAAATGTATTCGTATAATGAGCTAGCCCCTTAATGAACCACCTCCTCCACGCTCTATCTTTAGCAGTTGTGTGTTCTGCAGCAGCATGTAAACACGCATACACGCAAAACATGTCTCCCTCCCGCTCCCCAAGTGAAAGTAAAAATGTTTTACAAAACCCATAGGGGGCCCCAAGGTGCTCCAGAAGTGCATAATCTCAGCAGCACTCGACAAATATGTTACTGGCAAATACCAGGCCCCACCAGAATCTGCTGGTGAAATGATGTGTGTGGCACAGTAGGGGGTACAGCTTTGGTGGTGCATCTGCCAGTGATCTCAATCAGCCAATCCATGGCACTTGCTGGGTCTGTCCCGTAACTTCCTGTCAGCGAGCCTTCCACACGTCACGTGGCCTCAAAGTGCACCTGGCCTGGCACAGGCGCCGTGGGCGACATCACTGTCACTTAGTGGCGAATGGCGGGTATTGCAATTGGACCAGCGTGGTGAAGTATGGTTAAGTACGATCAACAACCCCCTGTGGCTAGTGTGGGCAGGCCTTCATCCAGCATGACAAAATGCTTGTGATTAAAACTTGATGCACATTTTCTGACTGATTTAACCACTTTAAAATGAAGTGACAATTTACACGCAGCTTCTTCATTAATTTGTAGCATCAAGAGAAAAAATGGAAAGAAAATAAGGTAGTTCAGTGGTTGCAGTCACAGGGAAGGAGTACTATAAGAATGTCAACCACTGCCCAAGGTTATATACTGGTAAGGCAATTCTTAACTAGCCCACGTTTGTCCATTCACACGCGTGTTTACGTACGTATGTACGTAGCAATCTTAGCTAAAATGCCAGCGAACTGAGTTATGTGTTGCAAACAACACACAATGTGCACCCATTGTGTGTGTGTGTGTGTGCTTGGCAAGGACCTCGCGAATTCCAACTAGACCTTAAGTGAATAGCGTGCCGGTTAACCGTCCTGAGTCAACACCCCATGCAGGAGGGCACAAAAGGCGGGCCCGGGTGCGGTGCTGGTCACACCAGCTCGTTGTGTTCTTGCCAGCCGTAATTCAGGATCGCTACGAACAACGATGCTTAATTTCAACAGTCCAGCCAGGTCCCAAAAGGCTTGAGACATTAATCCGACACTGCGTGAACAAAGCCTTTACAGGTTTGTGTTGTGTGCGCGCGCACGCGAGCTATGCTGATGTGTTTGTTTGTTTTTTTCCGCGACCAAGGCACGGCATACGTGCTTGGCAGTTTACTAACATGCCAATAATTTGTTCATGTTCGTGCGTATGTGCGCATAAGCGCAGACGCAAACGCTCACTGCTGTCAAAACAAATGGGGTGCATTGCGGCTCTTGCATTTTGTCAACGTGCTCATGTCGACGCACGCGAACCCATTTCATCCCTGCATGCGAAATGAACGGCGGAACATTTTCATTGCCCGGTGCATTTCACTGCATTATCCTATTTTGTGGTTCCCGCATTTTTTAGGCCGAGACTCCGAAGATGGGATGTCGACTATGGAACGATCTATAGCAGCTCGCCACGCCATGCGGCCGAAGATCGTGATTCCCGGGGAGTCTCAGTCACAACGTAGGCGGCAATCATTTAATCGCTGCCCTGGGCTTGACATCTTATATCTGCAGATTACATAGAAATCAATATTGAAGCATTTGCCCTACTATTATCCTTTGTTAGAATGATGTATAGCTGCCTTTGGGCTCTTTATACGTTCGTTGTAAACTGCAGGTTGGAATTTTCATTTACGCTATTTGTCTTTTAAGAGCAGGTGCACACATAATACTTTATAATGCCAGCTGTCATATTCAGTTTGTACATCGTATGTTTTCTTGAGTTATCGAGTTGGTTTTTTAGGTTTGTTTCATTTTTTCTTCACGTTCACATACTGTGTGCTGTTGTTCAACTGACTACATGTAACATTCCATTGACATGCTGTTTGTTTTGTGTTTTTTTTTGTCCTGTCGCTTGTTTGTTTTTTTCTCCGTGTTCCTTTTTATTTACCATCATCGCTTTAACCCCCCCGCAACTCCCACTCCACCTGTCCTCCTGCTCGCCTCGACTCCCTGCCCCTTATCTGTCACCCCCCCCCCGACTCCCCGCCACCTTAACTCCTTGGACGTTCAATAAAGTGTTGGCAACAGCCTCCCGCCACCATAACCCGGCAAAGAATCACCCGTCCTACCTCTCCCTCCCCCGGCCGCCACCACCACCGCACCACCACCATCACCACCACCACCACCACCAGCTCTCCCCGCTGCCCCCTGCGCCCTCTCCGCCCCCCTTAACCGGCACCCCCTCGCCCTCCTGTAGCTTCCCAGGCCCCCCGGCATACGACGTGTGCATTGTGGGGCTCCCGGGGGCAGGTGGCGGCAGGGCTTCTGCCAGGGGTACGTTGCGAGCGCTCTCCCGCTGTGCCGATGCCGATTGCGTGGCGGTGGCGGGCGGGCGTCCGTGTAACCGCGGGCCGCGTGTGTCCGGTTTGCCCTGTGCCAGAGGAGCTTGGTGGCGGCGTGCGGTCAGCCGCTAATGCATGACATCGGTGATTCTCAACTCCAGTCCGCGTGACCCACCACCACAGCTTGAATGTGTTTTCGGGTTGCACGTGCGCGTCGTTTGGCTTGGTGAATCGACGCGTGTCGCGCTCCACGGAGGTGCGATCGTTTCTGTCCGCATGCAAACGAGGCCACTTACGCACTGCACGCACCTGATGGTTGGTAAATCGCGGGAAGCTGCAGCAATGGGGGTCGCAAGGAACTGGAGTTGAGAAACCCCACGTGAGGTGACTGGTTTAGCATGACAAAATTAACCGTTGCGGTGTATAAAAACACGGCTGAGTCAACTGTATGGGTTGGTGGTTGCCATGTGGGTAGGTTGATTCCCATGATAGGAATGTGGATTTTCTCCCACTGGCTCCGGGCTGCCATTGTAAACGAGCACTTGTGAGCAATAGACATGGGAGATGGGTTTTTGTTGTTGTTGTTTTCCTGACACGTACGTTAGTGTATATGTGTGTGAACGCTCTCAATACATTACGCATTCACGAAAGAGTAGTTGGGCTAGCTGTGCTATGAATTGTGAACCATGATACACATTACAAGCGACAATAGATGTCTGGAACTTGGCTTGGGCCCTCCCCTAGGTGGACTGAGAACAAAATGTAATACTGATTACAGCACGATGACAGTTAGCACTGTGAAGACGAAGGCATTGGTGCTGGCTACACACCCACGTGTTTGCTGCGAGAGCATTCATAGTAATAGGTGATCGCTAACAAACAGCGCACGTGCCAACAGTCAACAAGGCTAAATTAGTGAGCCACATCTTATTGGATATATACTTATTTTAATGGGCTAAACATAATAATAATAATAAAGGAACGTAAATGAAGCCACACTTAATTTCCAGTTGATCCCTCATTTCCATCTGCTACAAAAATGTTGCAGGATAAATGCAGATTACTTGCCTGGTACCCGGCACCCTTACGCGACGATCAATCAGGTTGGCTTCATCGTTAAACCAGAAGACCGGAGGAGTTGCTGCCTCATAATAGGTTCATAAAACGGCCTACATTGTATACAAATTGTGAAGTCTGCATTTTATGGAGTCCCCTTTTATAAGACACGAACATCATTAAAGCTCTTAATACAGCAATTAATTTGTTTTCATGAAAAGGATTGATACGCTATCGCAACAGTACCGTCAAAAACGTCTGTGCTCCGCAATCATAGCGTATACATTTTTTCCAATTGAAAATATTTTCATCAATAAATGTATTTTCTGAGTCACAATAGCCTACTCGCGATTTGCCCAAAGAAATATTGAAATCGTCTTGGTAATTTCGTTACGTTCGTATATATGTATATCACGCAACATCGGCGATAAATATGATTAAACCCTACGTTATGCAAAGGTTAAAGGCGTCACTGTAACTTTTACTGCAAATTCTGTCTATTTTTCGACACCCAATCTGTGCTGCAAGTCATAAATTTTGTTAAGCGTGGCGCTAAAATGGCCATCCCATAAATTCCAGAGACCCAAGATTTTAAAACTGCTGTCGAAATTAATAAACGCCACACTCAAACAGCCTCAATTAACATACAAGTTGGGAATATTTGTCTTTCACAACCTTTTCTGGGGTATATCTTGTTAATAAAACAAAAGTGGTCCGACCTGTGCTATATGTTAACGCCACACTCAAAGAGTGTTGATTTGTTGCAGCTTGCTTTTGAGCTCGCATGCGAAATAGGGCATTTAATTCATATGGTTGTAGCATTAAGATAAAGACATTTTGTGTGTAAACTCATTGCACACGGGTATTTTGGAACTGGTGGAAAAGTGATAATGCAGTGTTTTATGGGCTATGCGCAAAATATAAAATTTCATATCTAATATATGTTGAACTTCTTTTGTACCGTACGTAGCCAACCAAGCTAATATCTAAGCCTCTTCTAGGTTGACCAATCGGGGGTGCCTTGCTGACCTTAATAGTTGCTCAGGAGTAACTTATGCTCTAACAATCTGAACGGTTACATTTTCGTTTCATCAGAATAATTTAATAAATCCAAAAACACACAGAGCCTCACGTGAAACTAAAACTCCCTCAATCAAATCATGGCTGCCTGTGGCCATCTGTCATTGATTATTTATTTGGCCCACGCTGTAAAACATGTATATATATTTAATGGATGAAATAGCTGTGATACATTGGGATCTACGGATGAAATTTTGCCTTATAAATATAAATTATTATTCAGCAACACACGTTTTTTTTTGTTCTACGGCAGCGACAGCAGTGGTGGGTGTCCTCTTATTATATCAGCTGGAGGCCGACAGACACGAGAACAGCAGCAGCGTTGGCGTGCGTGGTGCCGAGAGATCTTCTGACGGCTTTGTTCCCCCCCCCGCCCCTTTGCCGTAGACTCACTGCAGCAGTCGCCAAGCGGCGAAATGGCCCCAGGTACCGTGCCGGGCCTGGGCGAGAGCGACGGTTGTCCGACGGCCGGACCGGCGGCAGCCGCCGGTGCGGCCGCCGCGTCGGTGGTGGCGGACGACGACGCGCCGGGCCGGCACCTTCCCACGGCGCACGTGCGGCCCTCCCAGCCGCTCACCAGCTTCGCCGTGCCGATTGTGCCCGCCCACCCGTCCGCCGATGGCGCCGCTGCCGTGGGCAGCGTGGGCCCGCTCCACCCGCAAGGTCTCGTCCGGTTACATTTTTTTTTTTTACGTTTTCTGTATGTTGTTGTGAAAAACAAAAGATTCTTCTCTCTCGCTCTCTCTTCCACCAGTTTTTTATTTATTTATTTATTTCAGTCACACTCCGTATGCACGTCGAACTTCTTTCGCGCCGTACGTAGCCGAGGTGTGGAATAATGACCACAAACTAAACACAAAAAGCCGTTCTAAAGTCGTTGATTTTCAATCTAGATTTAAGTTGCATAGCTCCAGTGGCTTTCTAATATCGAAAGGAAGAGCATTCCAGATGGCCGCAAAAGCGTCATGTCATGAGATCAACTAACTGCTCGTTCGCATCTCTAGCCGAGCGGCGCAAACCTTTGTGTTAGAAAATGGCTCACGGAAGTGGATATCATAGAGCTACCTATGAGGTTCCCTCAAGTGATACATGGTCCACACTGTAGAGGAGGGCAGTACTTTTCAACCGCTCTACATATGAGAGTAATGACAGCAAGACTGATATTTGATTTCTCAAAGCTGGAATTAAGCGCAGAACCAAATTTAAAAGTACATTTTTTTCGTGCAGTCATTTGTGACCAGACTGTGACCAAACAACTCGCTTCACTGACAAGTTGGTTTAATCACAAGGTGCCGACTTGGATTCGAACCCAGCGTCACTCAAGTGCCAGCTAAGCGCTTTGACATCCAAGTCACCCAGCCAACTTTTCTTGTTTTTTAAAAATGTTCATCCAGAGTCATATTCCTGTTGTGCTGTACCCATCGTGTGGCATGAAACCAAAGGAATTTCCACGTGGAAGGCTCAGAGAGAGCTTCACAGCATCACTTCTTTGTCAGAGCGAAGCCACTGGGAGATGGCTTAAAAAATATTTCCTCTCAATCCACTTCAATAAACTCCTTATACAGTAAGCGGCGGCACAGACATTATATGGCCTTCGGGAAAATCAAACCAATATTGAATCTTCACAGCTGAAATATGCAGGATTAAGTAAAACATTACTTTTAATATAAGTTTGTGTGTGTGTGCATTAATTGGTGACTAGGCTGATACCATCGACTCGCTCAGTCTTGAGAGCTTGAATTAATTATGTTCGGCTGCCTAGATTTTAATCCATGATCTCAGTGGTGCTGGCTCAGTGATCTGACATAACCATTCGCCCAATGAGCCACCCAGGTAGCTAACGCTCAAGTAATATGCGAATTACTTTGATTATAAAGTGGTGACATATGCCAGTAATTGAGCACTTCAGACGTGCGGTTGGGTGCATCGTGCAGAGTGCCGTGCGTGACGACTGCGGTGGGAAATAGGTTGCAATACAGAAAGTAGGTCGCTGGCATGCCTCAGTGGAATCTTGAACTTAATTCCATAATTTTGCGTGGGGTTTATCTTGACTCCGCCGAGGTCAGAATTTCCGTCGAAAATAAAGTCACTGACGAAGCTCAGTTTAACACGTAGGAGGCTTTCACGACCAGCATTATCCATAATATAGGGTTTTTTGGGTTGGATTTCATAAATATAAATGTGTCGTTAAACCCCGCCACTACCCGACACGGCCACCTAGTGAGGTTTGTCACGTAAACAAAACATGCAATTCGTTAATAGTTCAGCACACTGGTGTATTGGAGAGTAAACCCACAACATTTACAGTTTGAGTACGACGTTTCGCCAGTAATTACAACCAGCATCATCCGACGACAGCTGTTGCCATTGTAGCGCAGGACAAATTTACATGGATAATGATTCATTTATTAAATCAACCCAAGAAACATACTTTTCGTGGTAGCTTAACGCATGTATCCATGTTCTATTTGCGTATTATTTGTTTTGCTCACAAGATAATTTTGCCTAAGCTGCTTATTTACATTTTGTTAAATTGTTTATACAAAGATGAAAAGCTTAAAATAAAGTGTTTCCCTGCTCATCTATCTTCATTGGCAGCCTAAAAACCCCATGGTAAGAAAATAAAATGCATATGTGAGTGTCGGTGTCTTCCTAGGATAGCCATTGTTATTGCATAGACTCTCCCACCATAGCACAACAAAATATAATGGAGCACAACTAACAATGTGGATTTAGAGTCAGCAGGATGCACAAGCAGAATAATACAATGAGGCATTTCATGGCATCTTGTTTTATCTTACTCTTTCACGTTTTATCTCCCCGTTTGTTGAGCTAAAGAAAACTGCTCGTGAAAGTATCGCTGAAGGACATTCGGTGATACCCTAACCATAACAATGTACAGGGAAAAAAAATCCCGCTTATGGGATCCTGGCATATCCATATTAATGATATGTCACAGCCCCAAGAAGAACTAAACTTTGAGCAGTCCTTAAAGTTCCATCTAAGATTCACTTTAAATGACATGCTGACATTGCTCGATGTGATAAGGTCATTACGTTGGTTGCTAGGAGTGGAGGGATGGGTGTGGAAAATGCCCTATCCTTTAACCCACTCCACAGCAGACCACTGGGTCTGTGCCAGAACCAAAGAGCATCGGGTAGATAGCGCAGACATCCGATACCCCGGTTTAATCGCCAATCTGACAGTGCTGAGGAGGCGGGTGAATAGAGCTTTGAGAATGGAAGGCGATTTGACTGACAGCTCTTGTAGCACGGTGACAGGCAGCGTTGATGCTTTTAGCGGCATGCTGTGTGCTCTTAAAAAGCCAATTTCTGTATGAAAGGTGGGGCAAGATTGGATTGTTACGTACTGCGGTTTTCTAAAAAAGGAATTTGATGGCCTATCGGTAACGCGCGGCACAAATCCCAAAAGTGTGGCCAAGACAGATCGGGAAAGATTTCCATTACAGTGGAACAAGTAATGGTGCAGAGTGGGCGACAAGTGTTGCGTGTTCCAAATCTCTGGTTGGATGTAGTGAAGCGGACTCGAGTTGTTTGAGCGTGGGATCGCCGGACGATATTTTTTTCCTGCGTTTCCCTTTTTTCATGTCGCAAATGCGCCCGCACACTACCCGGGGTCTCGCTTTTGTGCAAAAAGGTTAATGCATTCCCTATCTAATACAATAAGAGCATCGTTATGCGGCAAAGATGAATAGGGCCGTTTTGTATGGCCCATCACTTGGTAATATTTTAAAATACTTGATACTAAAATCCTTTGACTTTTTCACCTATAGCTTGGAAGAATATGCAAAACAATGGCTATTCAAATCCTTTGACTTTATGACCTTTCTAAATTTCTTTTCACCATTCATTTTTTGCACAAGTCACACTTTCCACCGTAATGAATCCTTTAGTGTTGAAGTGACACGTGTTAATTACATGCTGCCGGGGGCTAAGGTTTCAGAAGAGTCGAGGCATCTTGGTAATTGCTCACCTAATTGCCTTGTCAACCTTGCTCTGGTGTTCCCAACGGTGCCAACAACCAGTTGTGCAGAGTCCTTTACTCTCGGCCTGCTGAGACGCAACCAATGGAGAATCTGGAATGGCGTTTTCGCAACAGTTGAAACTCGTTGCGATGCCGAGATGGGCATTAGCAATGGGAAAGGGATCGCCCTGGGATTTACGAGCCTTTGGTGCCCACGTGAATGCATTTCCCAACTTACTCAGCTTGCATCTCCTGAAATAGGCCTGATCTCATCAAATCTCAGATGATAAGCAGGGTTAAAAACCTGGTTGATACTTGGAATGGGTAACATGTGGATGGATGATTGCATCGCCAGGTGTTGTAGGCATGAGGCATTCTGCTCAAGCACTCACCCCATATGTACAGGGTGGCCCAAAGCCAGGATACAAAGAGTTATATTTCTTTTAACAAATGTTCACACTAACTTCCTCTAACATTAATGCATGCATACATTCGCTAATGAAATTAATAACCAGGTGTACAGGTCCAATCTTTGAACATTCATCAATTACGTTCCGTCAATTTTTTTAAAATTTTCTTTCCTTTTTTTTTGACGTCTTCCGAAAGGGAAGAAGAAAAATAATAGATGTTCACAATGATAATCAATAAACATATTAACGTCACGAATACGCAATTAAAATGTTGTAATGTCGGTGTTCAAATTAATGAAATAACCCTATGCATCCTGACCTTTGGACCACCCTCTAGATGTGTAAAGGTTGCAATGCCCATTGCTTGGTTATACCAGTGTTTATTCACTTGCCTGTGAATACAGAAGAGGGGGGTTGGGGTGGCACAGCCTTCGGGAGAGGGGGGGGGGCACCCACCCCGAGTGCTCGGCGGATGCCTATTTGTCACCCGATGACTCTTCACTTTATTAAAAAAAAACAACTATCGTACGTTTTTATTTTTAAGGCCCCGCAGTGTTATCGACGAAAGTGTTGTAGCTGTTCTTGTTTGTTTGTTAATAGTCCTCATGAAGGGCAACTTGGTCTGATTGACAAAGTGGTTGACCGTTGAATTGATTATTTGCCGATTTGTCAATAGTGAAGGAAACCAAATGCGAGGCACTATTTCGTTTTGCGGGATGCTCCAGGGGGAAGTAGCACGTTGGTTTGTTTCATGTTCTGCTCTGCCCTATCGCTTTCGTATCGAGCGAGCAGGTGTGTTCATTGATCCACATGCGCGCGTGTGTCACCGCTGACTCGACATGCTTCTATGACGAACGTGTTTGCATCGACACCCGCCCTCGTGGTCATTGCTTCACCCCAACCGCCACTCGCATTAACATTCTCAAACACACACCATCCTCCACCTCCCCCTCCCCCCCCCGTTCCCCTTTGAATGTTGAAATTATTTCGCACCGTGTGTTAGCCAGCCGCGCTAAATCGGATGTGCGGGTGAAGGACAACAAACTAAACACAAAAAGGAGTTCTAAAGAAATTCGTTTTCAATCTAGATTTAAAAGTGCATAGCTCCGGAGGCTTCAAAATGTTTCCCTCCACCTCTGTATCCCTCTAACTACACCCTCCCCCGCCCTTCATATTCCTCCACGTTTCCTTATGTATCTTTTGATTCTGCATTAATAGCCGGCAATGCAATCCTATATTCACATTACATAGTTAACAAGTCTAAACATGACCATTTCAATGAATACGTAACAACATATTTTTTTAAATAAATTGTCACGATCCATTTTTTTCTGGTCCAATCCATATCATTTTATTTGCCAGCCAATTAAATGAACGTTCAACTCCGTAAAATAATCTTGAAAACCAAAGTCAATACTCAACTGTTTGGCAGTCCATGTTTTCTGCTGGCAGACTTAAGTAGGTGATTAAAATTCCAGTCTTATGATAGGAATTACTCTTTCCACCGTTGAATTGCCATTATATTGTACTCACTTTACTCATCCCAAGGGGATGATGAGCTGGGCCTATCCCTAGCTGGGATATTAGCTCACAACATTCTGATTGTGAAGAAAGTGCTCTTCCACACTTTCCTCCTGAATTGATTGATATAACATTTCTAAATTATGGGTGGATGCAGCACTCAGAGACAGAGCGGTTTTAATGAATACCAGCGAAATGGATCCAGTGCACGCAATTGAGCTTGTCTTGTATAGACTGTAGCCTATATCGGCTGAGGCATGTCAAAATGTGCCTTAACTAAAATGCATGGCTATAGTAACTAATCAATAAAATCAAATGCTATATTTAGAACGAGTTGTGTTCCTGCCAGGGGTGCAATATTTCTCCACGTCAAAGGAAAGCTGTTTATAAATGATGCTTTGAAAATATATATCAAATACAGTTCTTAAAATGAACATCACAGCGACAAGGCTGACATGGAAAATGTAAACATTTTAACACGATTCAAAATCCAATCGTGCTTGACCAACAAATATAAACATTTCATTTTGGCTGTGTTGCTTCACATTTGACATACTCGCCCAGAAGTCTTCATATCAAATGTTTACACTCAGCTTGTGTGTGTGTGTGCTCTTGCATGTGTCGGCCTTCATCGGTGCTCACTAGTAGCACTTGCCCCAACAGTCTGTTGAGGCTACACGGGCGATCTATGTCTTGTCTTTGCCCATTTGCGAGCATGTGTGTGCATTCATTTCACGCGATCCGCATTTGGCCGTGGGTAGAAAGGTCCCACACACGTGCAAGAACAGCTCCGTGGCTGGTCGTGACGAATTTTCAGACGTAAAACTCAAATCGGAATGAAACAGTGCTCCTGTTGGGAAAATGATGCGTGTTTCTTGTTAGCGGGGGGAGCAGTGCGTTACAGATAAGGGTGGCAGCAGTATAAGTATTCTCTGGGTGGCAGAGCAGAAAGAAACCTTTGAGATCACGAGATTCACGTTGGCCAAAGTCAAATTGGAAATTCCACATTCCTATGGTGGAAAAAGTCCCTCCATCGGGCAGATGCTGTGAAACCGCGAGCCAAGTGCCATTGCTGGTTGTATACCCAGGAAGCCTTCAAGGCTCTCCATTCAAAAGAGCCCTGCGCTTGAGATGCTTGGCCAATGCCGTTGCTGAGTTTCTGGGCACGTGTGGGAGGAAATTTGAGAACCTGTTGAAAACCCACAACCTCAGGGTGACACCCCGAGCATTGGCATGTCCTGGCCTACTCGCAGCCCAATGCCTACAACGCCTGTCAAGCCCTGGTGGGCCCTCATCCAAATACAACCGGGCTCAACACTCGCTTTGCGTATGCGATCCGACGAGTTTTGGTGCATGTAAGGTGATTCGGTGATAGGCTTTGGTAAGTCACTTTATCGGCCGCAAAGTCATGATGGACCGATTCAACTCCCCTAGCTGAGATTTGAACTCGCGCACTTCAGATTGTGAGCGGGGGTGGGGTGGGGGGGGGGTGGAAACTCTCAGCGCAGTGGCACCTTGCCCGACAATTTAATAATAATTATTATTGTTGTTTTTACAACAATGCTCTTATGCCTCACAGGTGGTCCCCAGCTGCTTCCAGCCAGGACGGCTTCGGTGGGCACATTGGGACGCACTCGCGCCCCGCTGCCTGTCACCATGCCCAGCGCCCCCGACGCCCCCGTGGAACCCAGCCACCATCCCTTCGAGGACACGGAGAGCGTGAGTTTGAAATAAATGTTGTGCTGCGACCAGCATGCGGGGCGGCGGCAGCGGCTTCTTTGAGTCGCTCGCCAGAACTGCCAGTGCCCAAAGGCCCGTGACGGTCGCAGGTGGCAAAGGTAATGGGAACGGCGGGGTCACAGTGCTTGGATATGCATGAACTGTAATGTTTTGTGAAGAAAAATTCACGTGTACATTATCTTTAAATTATTATTATCATTCCGCCCAGCCACTTGCCAATCCTTTCAATAGGGTGAACCCATCTGTGACCCCCCGCCGAAAAAAATGTCCCCTGTCACCGCTGATAACTAATTTGAATATAAAGTTATTAGCTTACATCTAGTCAGTTTAAATGCAAATCTCCTAAATGGTTATTTGCGTGTAATATAAATTAGAAATTTAAACACACCGTGGCGAGGAACCAAAATTGTTTTATGTTTGCTGACATACATTAATGTCAATTCAATTTGTGGTTCAATGCTGAGAAATATAATACTTTATTTCAGCATTTTTCAATTGTTTTATTATTATATTCCTTTGGCCGAGAGTGCATAAATGTCGTTGGTTATTGTCTGGTGTCAAAAATCCTGTTACTGTCAGTGTCGAGTGGATCACATTTTGTTAAAATGTGTTTCAGGCTCACAGCCTTTTTGCTTTGTCTCACTTAAGCATTCTTCATGAGCTCCAGATTCCCTACATTCATTATGGTTATTGTATCATTGCCCTCCACTGCAAAATGACTTGCTATCGACGACCTGTCAGTCCTATGTTTAAGCCATCACCATAATTGGGGAGTTTTGAATTTGGAATGTTGATTTTTTTACATTTCGGTCACAAGTTTGCAATTTAACCATACATCACACGGTAGAGTTTTAAATACGTTGTATCTGAAGCGTCTAACCATGTCTCCTTTTATCCTTCCTATCCTCTCTCTTTTAACGCCATTTTGTGTTCACCAAATCCTCCTTAAACGATTGTTATTTTTGTTGTCTGGCCTTTTTACTATGTTTCCTTTTTTTCACGCCCTCCCTGTCCTTCTGTGTGTCTCTCTCGCTGTGGTGACGGGTGCGGTGTGGCGGCCTAGCAGGCTTTGTGAGGCCCGGCTCAAGGGTTTCCCTCTCGTCAAAAAAAAAAAAAAGCTCACACCTTCACGCTGACGGCAATTCCCCTTCCCGCAGACCTTCGGGCAAGACGACGAGGAGCTGAGTGCTGAGATGGCAAACCTGGAAGGGCTGATGAAGGACCTCAATGCTATCACATCCTCAGGAATCTGAACAGCCATTGGCCCAGAGGAGAAATTACAAAATTGAACTCGAATGAAAAGCATCTGGACAAGTAAGAGACACACAAATGGCGGTGTCGGTGTAATTGCGGGCAAACACTGCAGCGTTTTGCAAGCCATCAACCTGTTATTTCAATGCCTCTGGTGTGCCAAGTTCATCGCTGACTGATGGATGATTAATGCGGTTTTGTCGCAACCCATTTTTGAAAGCTTGCTTTGAAGCAATGATGGAGAACTTCAAGCTGTACCTTTAAAGACTTTTCCGAGCTCTGAAGTGTCATCAAAGCTGGGAGACATCAATGCGGTGGACATGCCCCTTGCAAGGGGAATCGATGTGGATTGTTACATCCTCTACAACGCCACTTTGTGGAAAAGCACCTTTGGAACCCTCGACTTAAAATCGGCAAAACTGAACACTTCTCTTGAAGGAGAAGAGTGAGAAGACAATTAGAAAAAGAAATGTGGGTTAGGGAGAAAGTAAAACAATACAATTCTCTTTGCAAATAAGCGCATTTTAAAAGTAAATATTTTGTTGTATGCGTATTTTAACTTTTATGTCTTCTTGGAGCCTGTAGATAGCTATTGTGTTAGTCTGTTGACATGTACATACCTGCAATATGGTGTCTTTATGTTACGTACAGTACAATCACGTATTTTTTTGCGAAAAAATCTGGTACCTTTTTTGATAATGGGTGCAACCGTGAATTTTCACGAAAGGGACGTCAATACCATTGAAGGGGGCAAAGGGAGGAGGAGTGTGGTGGGAGTGGTGGGGGTGGGGAGTGGGAGGAAGGTTCTGGATTAACGATTAAAGTCCAACCATCAAAGAAGACATGGGCTGGCAGCGACCTGGAATTTGAATCAATAACGAGCTGCACCTGGGACTAGTTCCCAAGCCTCCTGAACCTCATTTCAGTGTGTCCAGCTATGTCATTTCTTGGAATAATTGAAAATAAATATTATTGTTTTTTTTTTAAGATGGGAGAATGAGAGTGGATATATTTATTTATTTCCCCCCTCAATCGCCATAAGTGGAGAGATGTGTTTGCATTATTGCAGAATGCAATAGGGCCACACACACGTGGTAGGCAACATCTTAACAGCACAAACGGTTACAATGGGAGTGTTATAGGGCAGCTGTGCTGTTGTGACTACCAATTGTGCCAACTTTTTAAGAGTTTTCACTGTTTTCAATCTGTTCAGGCTCGCATTCATTGTAGACGGTGAGACACGTTCATAATGCGTGACTCAAAGGGTTCATAATATACCTCCCATTCGGCCTCCCCCGTACCCGGTGATTCACACTTGCAGTGTTGGCCATGGCTGTACACAAGACACATGGCAGCTGGTCACTGCCAACATAACGCTTGTAAGAACATGGCACAAAATGGGATTAACGAATGCTGCGTATTATTTTGATTTGTATCCATGAATGATTTATTATTATCATCATTATTTTACCTCCTGTATTACCACGCCGGTTAGTCGATTCGTCGTGGTGTGGAGAGCTTGTTTTTCCCGTAGACGCTTTGCAAAAGGCCAGTTCAAGATTTTCTATCTGGCGCAACTGTTATATAAACCGAGCCTTGGTGATCGCTGCTGCAGAAATTGTATCTGTTAAGCCCCTGTGCATGGCGAGATGCGCGTGTTGATGACGGGTGGCACGTAATTTTTTGTCTCGCGATGAAGTTGCCATGGGTGCTCGTCGTCCGCAAAAACAGTTGAAACGTTGATCAGCAATGCCATATCTGCCTGGCGGTTGCATCGCCATGCACGGTGATGCTTGCCGGTCAATGTACTCGACTCTGAAACGAACATGAACCAATGCTGATGGATAACGGTGGAGTACAGAGAAAGAGAGAGAGAGCCCAAAGGCCCCATTCTTTTACGCACGAAAAAGGCATCAGTTTTGGTGGTAATAATTTGGGGATGTTGACGAAACAGTTTATGAAGGACAGAGACGACAGTGTTGAATTGCTATGCAGTTCAGGCCTGGATATTAAATAAATAAATAACCACTGAGCTTTATTTATGGATGTTATGTTACTTAGCTCTAAATTAAATACTTGAATAATTGTACATTGTCAAAGGTGTACAAAGTGGCAAAAAATGTTTCCATTGTAAACAGCGCTTTCTCGGACAAAATGGGAAGCTTACTTTTCCTATATTTGACCCAGGCCGAGAAAAAAGGTACTAACTTTTCAGCACAATAATGAATCCAAGTCTGCGTGTTATTAGTATCAATATACTGTTGTAGAGTATGCTGGCTAATCAAGTCATTTGGTACATTTTCCACATTCTTATGGACAATGATGTATTTTAAACCAATCATTTGCATATATACCATCACTTACAATCATTGCTCTTTTCTATGAAGGCTGTTTAACCCTGCCATGACTAGTACTTTATCCACTTAAATATTTCACTTTTTGACCGAGCGTCTGTTAAATTTGCCACTGTTGCTATTGTCTGCTTTTAATATGTGGCATACTTAAGAACATCGATCATGTCGAATGAACATCCGCATTTAGCTGACTGATTTTTTTAAGTTGATGCCCTAGCTTTTTTTCAGAATTACACGGTTGTTAATATCAAGTGTTAAATGATAAATATATATTTTTTAGTCGTTTGCATTTATTCGCTCAATTTGAGGTTCATATTGCTAAGTGCTACGTTTGGTACCGTTTTGCTTTGGAGTATACTTTTGAGTGTGTGACAAGTGGCTCTTACCGTTTCTGAAACTGTTAACATTTAGACCCTTAAAGACGCTCATTGTGATACAAATGAATAAAACTGCTGTCTTATATAGAACGCGGTACCACTGCTTACTTTCTCAACGGGATAACAATTCGGTTACGAGGGGACTGCATCACTTTTACACACGGTGCAACAGAGAAGATATGGAACTGATGCACGTATGAGTTTATATGACACCAACAACATTGTCTGTGTCACCACAATGTTATACCACGTGTATCTTCACACTATAAGAAGGTCAAGGTGCAGCCCTGCAATTGCTTGCTCAAGCCACTGCTGGCTGGTGGCGGGGCCTCCGCGAGAGGGAGCTCGAGAGTGCCACTAAAGTTGACACTTTGGTCGAATCTTCCAACACTGGAAGAGGCACCTATACCATCACACTATGCTACCAAATCTTGATTTAAAGCTTTCGTGACTGCAGCAATTCATATTCTTTGGGTCTTTCGGTAAAGCCACGTAGATAGAATAATAAAATATCACGACGTTTCGATCGCAACACAAGCAATTGTCATCAGGTGAAAAAAATATAGAGCATCGTGATGTTTTTATTATTTTTCTGTCTACGTGGCTTTACCGAAAGACCCAAAGAATATGCTGCCTATATCATCACACTATGCCACCTATTAATATTACACGGATATTTCTATATATATATTTTTTACTCCAGATATACGAATTCTGACACGAGTATGGGTTGATGTCCATCTCTCTTTGCAGCCCTTTGCTCGTGGTATATATTTTCAATTATTTTGGCGAGGGGGGGGGGCAGTCTATCGTACACCCAATTCACGCGCCAAATGCTCCCAATCGCAGTCAACCTCGAAAGCTCAGCAGGTCGGAGCCTGGTTCGTGCTTGGATGCGTGACCACTCAGAGCTTGCCCGGTGTTGTGGGCGCTGGGCTGCGAGGTAGCCAGGAGATGGCAGTGCCCTGAGTGTCATCCCCAGGCATGTGTGGGTTTTATCCAGGTACTCCTACAGGCAGGGCCGGATTAAGGCACGGGGCTTTAGTGGCTGCAGCCCAGGGGCCACCGCCAGCTGGAGGGCCTCCGGAGATGAAGTGAAAAGTTATTTCATTTGTGAATGCCGAATTTTATTTGTTAGCCTCCAAATTGATAAATATGCGTCTAGAATATTTGGTTGCTATAAATTTCCACGTAATAAACCACTTCGTTGAGCTATCAATTGTGGCCAGGGTGTTTCTGTAAAATAGCTATACCGCTCAGTGGGCCTTACCTGGTAAAATAAAATAAAAATTGTTTAGTTTTCATGTATTGTCCAACATACCGATGTGGGACCCTCTTGATAATGAAATTCTGATTAAATTAATGGCATTTATCAAATATGAGTGTAATCTATAAGATAACCACATTTGCCTTCCTATAAAACTCTTTATTTTTATCAACCCCCAAAGGGACTATGGGCTGAACTCTAACCACAGTGCCACCCAGCCCACATATTCCAGGTCGTCGTTTCTCAACGGAGGTGCTCGCGGCCCCGCCCACAGCACAGCTGTCTGTGATTTACCAACAATCGTCCGGTGCGTGCAGTGTCCAGTGTGCAGGCTGGTAATGAAGCAAAATGTGGACAGTCGCGGATGGTCGCGAGGCCCAGAGGTGTTGGGCCACCTCCGTCGTAGATGACCCGTGGATAAATGCGTCGCCGCGCAGTATCCTGGCATACGTAGTGTCGTGGTGGCGGCGGCGGCGGCGGCACGTGTCCATTGGATGCGTGAACCACCCTGCGAAATGATTTATTCTCCGGGCATAAGATCTCCAACGCGTGAACAATGTGCGCTCGAGTGGGGAACGCGCGTGCCCCCCCAGTGCACGCCGTTTAGCGCTGCGGTGATGCAGGTGTGTACCCCCCCCCCCCAATCCCCCGCTGTGCATTGTTGCCTTGCGTTGTCTGGCATGTTTCCCTTTTCGCGAGGCAGGCGCTCGGCATTAAATATGAAGGTGCAAAGAGGGGTGAATGAGAGGACAGTCGGGTGAATGGGCGCTAAAGTGGGGGAGAAAAGAGCTCTCTTCACATATCTCTCCCTCTCCCTCTCTTCACCTTCAACCTCTCTTCACCTTCGCTCAATGTCGTCCTCCTGCAGGGTTTTTGTTGTTGTTTCAGAGTACCCAAGACGAGACAATACACGACAACACCCCCGCGTTTGTTGCCATTCACACCCAATTACAGGCAATGAATCCCTTGGGTAGGGCAGGCGGACGTATGTGACTTTTAACCGTTCATTCATTTTTGTGAAATTCGCTTTAACCTTTAAAATGTCATCGTCAAGAGCCGTGAACGTGCCACTGCTGTCTGACGGACACCCCCAAGCCGTCGCCACGTATGTATGTATACACATATATGTATATGTATGTAGAACTTCTTTCCCACCGTACGTGGCCAACCGTGCCGTCGGTCTTGCGATGCAACGATCCATATAGCTCCTTCACTCGAGCCGAGCTCATGAATCCTTCCCCATGATGGGTATCCTCTCAAGTGTATTACCTCCTTTCGTCAGCCACAACATCATTAGTCTCTCGACCCCTAGCCATATTCCCCTTTTAGTGACTTGTTCTCTCTGAGCCCACTCACTTTTATTAACAGTCAATATGATGTCCGAAGTTGAAAGCAGGACTTTAAAAGCAGGCGATGCAGGATCCCGGCTAAAAGCTTCATTAGGGACACTGTGGGAATAAACTTAGAGGGTTCAGAAGAGACATTCGTATGTGTACCCATTAGGTTCAGGGCGATAATCTTCATCGCAGATAACCACGTCTAGCGTTCTAAAGCATTGCATGTTTTCGGTTTGTTTTGAATTAAACAAGTCCAGTGCGGTTTGCTAATGTATTATTCTAAGTTCATTAGACTGTTTCGACTTGTGTTTCTGCCAGACAAATCCCTAGCTTCATACCAAATTATTCACCGTTGTTTGTAAATGTTTAATTATCGACGGCTATCAGAAACGGTATAAAGCAGATTATTTGAGTATACGTTATATAGATTCTGTATTGTGTTTGTAATGGTGCACCGTTACAGCATTTAGTATTAATTTGCAACTAATCTTGTTCAGGTCAGAACAATGCAGTGACGGTTGGATCGACAAGACATCCAATCACAGCCATGTGGTTCACTGCTGGATTAGGGCTTCCCTACACTGTGCCATCGCCCATGGGTGTTATTTGGCCATACTTCACCAAAGTGGCCAGTGTGGATAGGTTAGGGCGGGGGGCCAAGACGTAGTAGCATAGGAGGACAGTGCAGAACAACAAATGAATGTTAGCTGCATTGCCCTCTGCTACGTTGTAAATACGTGGAAATCAATAAACGGTTTATATACAGCATTTGTAACGCGCAAATTAAATCGTCGCCGTTTACATTAGCACAACATAACAACTCAAATGAAAGTGCAGTAACGTTGTAGACTACTTCAGTGTCACATTGCAGTCAACAATTCTCATCGAAGACGAGGTTTTTTTTTGTTTTCACGGATCTGCATTGGATTTTAAAGGCGAGCCCCTTCTTCATTGTGGCATCGTCTTCGCCGCGCACGATCTGCCGTCGGTGGCTTTCCGCGCGTGCGCGATGCTGAAAGCGCTGGACGCATTTGCGGCAAAGCCGATCTCCCTCGCCTCCGCTCGTCGCTTCGCACCGTCCTCGCTGGGACCAGCTCCGCGGGGTCCACGTGTCATCACCGTCGGCCGCAGCCGCACGCACACGCATTGTGACTCGCGCGCACACACATTGTGACTCGCACGAAAATCCCAATTATGACATCATTGGTTGCCGGTGAACAGAGGGGGGGGGGGAGGGGGGGGTAAAAAAAAAACCCTCCCGGGACGTTTTACCGTCTGGGTAAAAATCAGCCTGCCTTTTGAACTTCGAATATAATATTCACACGAGCTCAAACTCACCCACTTCACCGCTAAGCTGTGCCTCTTTTGCCCATGTTGAGAATAATACACGTTACATGTTGACACTGCGGGGTCTACATAATTCGTCACTTTGAGGGCTTAGTATTCGTGAGCTTAATAACCTGAAGATATCATTGGATTAACCAGAGGGAGGGCTACCGAATAAGTTGCGTTGTCAACTCGATTTTGATTCCTACCCATAGCTAACATAAGTTGAGTGATATTGGTGGTAAATCTGTGCTCGGCAGTTGAACTCAAATGCTCATGTTCACCCACTTCACTTACCCAATTCTCCCACCCACTTCTCTCACCCACGTCGCTCACCCACGTCGCTCACCCGCGTCGCTCACCCGTGCTTGACCAGCGTCATGACATTTGGTCAAACGACCAACACGGCACGAGGAGGTCCCCATCCAGAAATGGATTTCCAAAGGGGTTAAAATTGTTGATTTAATTCATTTATCTGTAATACAGAATACAATTATTAGATAGAGCAAGACATGTAGCACCTATTGAAGAAAACCAACTTTCACGTGTGTATGCGTGTATGCGTGTGTGTGTGTTTTATTCTGGCCCATAAAAAAATGTAAGGTAGGCTGCAGCATTATAGTCACTTCCTTAGCTCGGCATTGCCTAAAGCCAGCGAGAGCTCAGATACACGGCTCCCGCTAGTTCATTGTGAATTATCCATTGTTGGCGTAAATATTGCGCAGGTGAGTCATTTGTCTCCACTCTTATGACAGCTCAGCCTGGTTGATGTGCACAGGCTGCAATAAGTTCAAGTGGCACGTGCTTAAATGTAATTGTGGCTCCCCAGGCCACTACACCTTTATCACTGGGATTTTCGCCGTGAAAGGAGGAAATGAATTACACCGTTGCGCTCATGACACCATTTTGCTAACCGATAACTGGGAAAAGCACTTACACTGCAGGGCCATTGTGATCTGCCAATTTGTCACTGACAGATCTAATTACATTGGCCAGACTTTAATCCTTTATCGTAATTGGGGGGTTTGAATTTGCAAAAGCGACTGACGATAACCTTCCTGTTAAAAGGATTCATCAAATATACATGAAACGCAATGCAACAAAAAGAAATCCGGGGCAGAGACAAGGTGATGGATGGGGCCAAATCTGCGCAGTGCATT